CATATGTACATATTTATAAATTAATGTATTTTTGACTTATAAGTTAAGAAAATTATTCATCTTAATTAATTAAATAACCCTTATTGTAAATAAACGCTATAGCGAAATGCCGACGGCAACTCGACACTTTTTGATGGTAAACATTTAAAATTTGCTATAAGTTAAGTCAGAAATTCGAAAAACATAGGAAATATATTAGTAAAATTTGGTTCAGTTTCTTCAATCTAAAAAAAAAAAAATTAAATAATATTTTCCTTTATTTTGATAACAATCATCAAAAAATTCGTTCCCTGAAGTTAACATATAACAATGTTATTTAAATGCTGAGAATTGCATTTGTGAGCATAATTTTTGTTGCTACGCTCAAAATGTTAAGCACTATAGACGAATTCTGTTAATTTCTGTGCCGGTGGTGAAATACGCTTTCATGACTCGACTTCGTTTTTGACAGTTTCCACGCTGGTCCGCAATTGAACCTTCTCTATGTTATAAGTTCTCTGTTATAAGTTCTCTGATGTATGGTTCGATTTATCAGAAGTCAAAATCTCGTCTTTTCCTATAAACAATGGAATCCATAGATTCTTTGAGCCGTCAACAACGACATAATTTTATTCTAAAAAATTTTATATTATCCAGTAAATCAAATCAACATAATCACGATATAGATGTTATCAGAGAACATCACCGCTTTTTATGGGATGAAAATGGAATTTCCGACGACTGTTCCTGGGAGGAACGTTTGGCAAGAAGATACTATTGCAAATTGTTTAAGGTAAAGTTTTTTAAAAAGTTTCTTTCGACTTTCATTTGAATTAAGTATTATTTTAGGAATATTGCATAGCAGATTTAACTCGCTACAAAGAGAATAAAGTGGCTTTACGATGGCGTACTAAAGACGAAGTTGTCAGCGGTAAGGGTCAGTTTAAATGTGGGAGCCGAAAATGTGAGCAGCAAGAAAACTTGCGTACCTGGGAAGTCAATTTTGCTTATCGAGAGCAAGGACAACATAAAAATGCCCTAGTAAAAATACGACTGTGTCCCAAACATTCAGAAGAGTTAAATTACACTTCACGAAAACGAGAAATTAAGCGACTAAAAAAATCAAAGGTACCACATGGAGGCTCAAAAACAAGTTCAAAGGAAATCCAAAAAAATTCCACAGAAATAAAAGAAGAAATCGCGGATTCATCGAGTTACTTACAAAATAACACACAGGGCAAAGAGCTCAAAGATGTAACGCATGGGAACGAGGACAAAATTTGGAGTCGAAAGCCAGACATTGGTTTAGAACAATCTTCGCGAGAAAGTGATTTTGAACGGTATTTAGAGGACTTGCTCTTATAAGTAATCTAGAAGAAGCTCGAATTTTAAATAATTTCGATGGCAAATGGATAAAAGTTTTTAAATTTCTATTCGAAGATTACGTAATCTTCTTTTTGAATTATAATATGATGTGTGGGTAGGAATATGATGAATTTTGTATGAACTTGTTTTTTAGAGTTAAAAAAGGCATAACTCTTTATCAATGAATAAATATGAATCGGTGATGATTTCATAAACTTTCTTTTTCACTAATTTTCTAGCTGTTTTTATAAATATGCTTTTTTTGCAATGATTGATTGAAATTTTTGAATGTGTCATAGTTTTGACAGATTTAACCAAATACATGGAAGTCTGTTATTTCACGACTCCAATTCCTCCATCTTCAATTGTCGCCTGTAATTAAAAATATCATTTATTGGACGAAGCGTACAAGGTGAATAATTTCCTGTTCTATATAACATCAGAAGATTGTTGGCCTGTTGTGAGCCGATTTTTCCAATTTGTAATATCATTCTATGAATTTAGATCATTATAACAAGAATAAATATATAAATAGATATACATATATACTTATCTACTTATGTATATGACCATATTTTCTTATTAAGAAATAGGTATATTTTTTTTGTCTTTCCACAGCTAAATATCCATATTTATTTCAAAATATTTTAACATGTTTTTCTTAAAAAAGAAGTAAACACTTTACAGGAATCTACATCTAGTTAAAGTTTTAAATAATTAAATATTTTAAACACATACAACATGACTGAAACAAAATAAATTAAGTAATTTGAACCGTATATGTATACGTTTTGCGAAATACATATACCTTTAACAGCACTTGAGGCACAGTGTAATTTTTAGTAAATATATATTTAAGAACATATGTATATTTGTAAATTTCCAAATTGATATCCTTTTTGGAAAAATTATTTGCATTTTTCAAGAACTTCAGCAAATGCTTGTGGTGGCTTAAAGCTTGTAACTTCTGTGAAAACCAGCTCCTTCCATTTATCAACAGGTAAATCCATATCTTCAAAACTTTGATCATATAGTGGTGACGTTTGCTCGTCGTTAGGGTCGTGATATTTTTCCATATATGGATGAGCCAAGGCTTCTTCTGCATTGATTCGTTTCTCTGCATCTAATTCCAGCATTTTTTCAAGCAAATCTATAGCTGCTGGATTGGCGTAACGGAAAACATCTTTGAAATTTCTTCTTTGCATTTTTGGTAGAGCTCGAATATAATTTCGAGCACTTTCAGAGGATATTTTTTGCATAAAGTCATCCGTTGGTGTTCCAAGTATCTCCATAATCAAATTAAGTTGATGAATATGATCGGTTCCGGGAAATAAAGTGCGTCCTGTTAGAAGTTCGGCCATTATGCAGCCAACTGACCAAATATCTACTGTTTGATTATAATGCATCCAATTGAGCATTATCTCCGGAGCGCGGTACCACCTGGTTGCAACGTAACCCGTCATTTCACTCTCCGCTGGCCTTGCCAAGCCGAAATCAAGTATACGCAACTCACAATCTTCATTCACCGCAATATTTGAAGGTTTTAAATCGCGATGTATAATACCAGCACTGTGAATATATTTCAAACCACGTAAAATTTGGTAGACCAAAAATTGAACATGATCGTCAGAGAGCTTTTGTGTTCGAATAATGTTATTCAAGTCGGCATCCATTAAATGCGTTACCAAATATACTTGATTGAAATTCTCTAAAGAACTAGCCGGCTGACCCGGATGGAAAACGTCTAGTAAGCCAATTACATTTTCATGGTCCATATGCTTCAACAAACGTAATTCACGATAAGTGCGTTTTGCATGAACAGCAGACTGAAACGGACGTGCTAACTTTTTAATTGCTACCTTCATACCAGTGTTTCGTACAATCGCCTTGCAAACCTGTCCATAGGCTCCAGAGCCTACAGCTTGAAGCTGTTGATAAATTTCTGGAATTTCCCATTCAGTCCGATTAATATCGAGTTTATAAAACGTCGCCATTTCCAAAAGATTATGTTGTAAATCGTTGTTGACAACTTTTGTCACATAACATTACTAATTGGAAACAAAATGGTATTTAGAACACAACAGAAGGCAAATGATGAAGCAGCAACACACTTGATTAAAGATAGAACGTTATTGCTTTGCATGACATTTCCAACTTTGTCATAAGAGCAAAGAACGCCAAAGCTATCTTTCATTCAATTATTACTTTTTATCGAAAACCTAGAAAATCGGTTAATATAATTAATTTTTGAACCTCATTTACGTTTCAAATTTGATTTTCTTGTAACACCCGAAATGAAATAGGAAATTAAATGAAAGTTACTTTTGACGTTAGCGTTTTTCTGAGCGCATAAGCATAAAAGCATATGCTTTTAATCTTTCCTTTCAACCAATCAACCAAATTACCTCAAGAAGAGTCAGACAAAAGCTTTTTTTTTAATATATTATTAAATTTTTAAACATAAGTGTTTGTAAATATATTGAAGCAGCTATGTTATTGTGCAATACTAAAGTACGCACAATAGCTTTAACCACAAAGAGTATTTTGAAACAGCTGAGGATATAGCGACAGTTATTCTCAAAATGGCTAGCAGGCGTATAAAACTATTATGCCCCACCGAATATACAAACTAAGTCAAACAAATTTTAGTCGATGTCTTGGTTGGTCTCTGGTTCGCTAAACAAAAGTCATATGTCTATCTGGGGAACAAAAATTCATGCAAATAGAACCACAAATATTTTTAGGTCCAAATCTAATGCAATAAAGTATTTTTAGTAAATCTCCACTGCGTAGAGAAAATATATTCTACACCATTTACAAAACACCTTCAATATACACAAGTCGGTCTTGGCGTTTAAGCTTTTCAAGTGAAATATTATTTCAGATTTTGACACAAAATTGCTCGTCGCTGCCGTTCTCAAAATGGTTGTATCATTGTCTAAGCCTTCAACGTCATTGTCTCGCTGTAATTCGTGACGCGCCCAAAGTGTAGACAATTTTTGTTTGTACCATCCGCTGTTACATCGATAAAGTATGTTAGTTTATCGGTTTATTGTTTTGTTATTACTCAAGGCGGATTCGACTTCTATTTACTAATTTGTAAATAGGAATTTTTTTTGTCATATTTGCAGTTTATAATCTAATAAGAGTGTAGGCAATAATGAGTGAAAGCGTACGTCTTTTCCGAATTTTTCTATGGAAGAATTGGCTGCAAATTCGTTATTGTTGGTTATCCTTAATGTTAATATTTCTTGGATGCTCCAGCATACTCATAGTATACTTGTATTCAACCAACAGACTACTAACAACGCCACAAATGAAATATGATGGACGACAGTTTGTAATGTCTAATTTTAAATATATGCATAACACATAGTATTTTAATTTAATCCTATTTAATTTTAGGATCATCTCAAAATGGATTTTCCTTCTAATGACGTTGATCGGATTTTTTATTCCCCGAGCACTGTGCAAACTGATTCATTAATGGAAAATGTCCGACAAGAACTCCAATATCCTCTCAGTGGTTAGTAGATAAAAATATAAAGTGGAGAATATTGCAAGTTGCAGGAACATCCTAATGACATTACTCTCATGGGAACCAAACTGAGAAACCAAATTTCTCAATAGATGCATTAATATGTTCCCATGGGTATATTTAGTTTGTGCTGGTCAACATTGTTTTGAATGTTTTTTACCTTTCGTAGTCCATTACTAAATTTTATACACCAACATTTTTTTTTTTCTAATTTTAAAGTTGGGAGTTAGCATAGAATATTTTTAAAATGTTAGCAACAATATAGTTTTTTTTTTTTTAATCATCACGGCTTACATTGTCAGTCAGCAAGATTAAGTTTTTAAACTTTAGCATTTCGAAGCTTTCTGATATAATATTCAAATGTCGCTTAATTAAGCTTCGAATCCATCTTACGGTTACTTTACTGCTAGTACAGTAACTTGATACTTATACCCAAACATGGAGTTCCGTGCTTAAGTAACAGCAATTATAAATATGTTATGATTTTCGAAATATAAGCATGTTCATTATATTTGCTTGCCAAATTTATTCTGTTCATTTTGCATGCAAAAATGCTTACAAGCTAAGTTAAGTATACATACGTACATATATACATGAACACAGAATATTCTTCAGAAACTTAAATACTAAATATTAAGTCAAGTAAAGAGTTCGTTCGGTTATTTTTTATTATTATTGATTTTTTTAAATATGATAACTTTGTGTACATTTCAAATATGCGCCGTTTTGTTCGTAAACTTGTTGCCAACAAGATTCCTATTTCATTATACCCGTAGAAGGCTGCGTCGGAGAGCCAATTTTCACAAGCCTCTCTTGAGACCAACTTTTCACCATTAAGCGCGTACGCAATGCAGGAAAATATGGTAGTCACATGGTGCCAGGTCCGGACTTTAAGGTGGGTGCATTAGAACCTCCCATCCGAGCTCCTTGAGCTTCTGGCGCGTCACCAAAGACGTGTGTGGCCTGGCGTTGTCCTGATGGAACACAATTCGGCCTATGTTGATCAAAGATCTGGATGAGTGCTGCTTTCAAGCTGTCCATTTGTTGGCAGTAGAGGTCCGAATTGAGCGTTTGGCCATAGGGGAGCAGCTCGTAGTTGATTATTCGCTGCCAATCCCACCAAAAACACCGCAAAACCGTTTGAGCCGCTTCGCCGAACTTTGACCACGACCGTTTGCTTTCGATGTTGTCGTAAGTGACCCATTTTTCATCGCTAGTCATAATCCGCTTCAGAAATGGGTTCCAAGCATCGAGTTTCTTTTTGAATTCAGGGTTATGCAAATGGTTCCAAACGGTTTTCTGGCTTATCTTTATTTCCTTAGCAATTAAATAAGTGCTCACATGACGGTCTGTTTCCACTTTTTCCATGATTTTATCGCAATTTTCGATGACAGGCCTCCCGACGCGTGGTGCATCGGACATCGAAACTACCGGAACGGGACCTAGCAAACCACTTTTGTGCTACACGTTCGTTAACAGTATCGGACCCATAAACTAAACTCATATTTTCAGCCGCTTTGACCGCTTTTTCGCCTTGATCGAAGAAAAATTTTAAAATATAGCAAATTTTTCGCTTTGCTGGTATCCATCTTTGACGAGCGCTCACAACGTACTGAGTCAATCAATCGAAAAACTGTCAAAGACAAACATTTAGCGCAAATAAACACGACTTCAGTTTGCTTATCTGTTGGACAAAATCGATAGTCAATGGAACCCATTTTGTGTCGATTGAAGACATCCAGGCGGCCGCGGCGAGGGTACTCGTGGACATCCCAGTCGAAGCGTTCCAGAAATGTTACGAAGAATGGAAAACGCGCTGGGATCGTTGTATAGCTGCCCAAGGGGACTACTTTGAAGGGGATGACAGAGTTGTAGAATAATTTTGAAATGTACGGTTTCTATGGAATCAGTCTCATTACTTAATTGTCACCCCTCGTAATTACAAAAAGAAAGAGATGAATAATTACTTTTTAATAGACGTAATGTATCAACGGCGGTAACAGTAGCCGAGTGGTTAGCATTGCGTGCTACCATTCGGAAGGCGCGGTGCGACCAACATCCAAAAGTTATAGAAAACCAAGTTAAATTTTCTAAAACCCATCAGCCGTTCGGAGGCGGTTAGTATAAACTGTTGCTCCCTACATTTGATAAAAAAAACATCAAGACGCAAAACCACAAATTGAAGTAGGAGCTCGACCGAAAAACCGCTTCAGCGGTTACAAAGCGTCAATTATAAATATTTATATAATATATCAACTGCTTATTAGTTATATATGTACATATTATTGGTATGCATAAGTACACTCGTATCATGTTCATACAGTGTGTACTAACATAAAAAGTACATGTTTTAATATACAGGTGTAGTGTTACTGTAGTGGGTAGGGTAACCACTTTTTCAAGAACAATGATATTTTCCCTTTTAGTGTTTGTGCAAATGATTTCTTTAGCCTGCTTTTGTTATTAAAAAATGTTCTGTAATTATTTGAAAAAGGTGTGAAGTTCTTTGCCAACTCAACTGAAATGATACGCGAAATGGAACGAAGTTGCAAAGGGAACTGTTACGCTGTCGATTTTCTTCATATTCCAAGTGATACATCGAGGGAAAAATTACAATATTCCATAAGTACAACCAGTATAAGAATTTCCCCTAAGAAGCGTTATGTCAATGACGAGGAAGTCGCTGGTATAAAAGGTAAATAAAAATCTGCGAATTGATTAGCTTACCCTATAAATAAGTGTGCTACTGAACGGACACCAACTAGTAACCGGTCAGTATTAAGCTTTTTTTTACCAAAAAATAAAAAACTTAATAATTTTATATCAAAAATAAATGCATTCAGAAATTAATTTATTGTAAGAATACAAGTTTAATTTTCATTTGATTTCCTCACCGTCTCTGTTCAAAAGCATTTACTTGGTGTTAAGTGTGATATTGTTTTTTTTTTTGCTAATGGGAGACAGATTTTGAAATGAAAAACTGTAGGTAATTATTAATAGAAATGAGTTTGACAGAGTTTAGTTTTATTGATAAATAAAGTAATTTAATTAGGTAATTTAATTAGGATTACATATTTTATTTAAGCAAAATATATATATTTTTTTCAATAAATTCGACTTTCGATTTCAATTTTTTTTGTTAAATAAGTAATAAATAAGCTGGCAGGAAAAAAGGAGTACAAAATAATGAGAATTTAGCGTGATAATATATGCAGAATCTCTAAGTATTCTTCTAGGTTAATTTGAAGGAAAATTTCCAGACACATTCATATTTATCGAAAAAAAGCCTAGTAGAATGTATATCTTTGTAAGAATATCAACATTGGATGTGAGAAAAAATTATTTTTTATTTTTAAAATACCTCAAGCACTTAACAGTGTAACAACGTTATATATCCGTACTATTGCAGCGGTAGAGATATTGCACCCAAGTATTTGAGGTAGTACTAACTCCTTAGGTATCTGGAGAAAATGAGTTATTCGGAGCGGTAAGGATCAACTCCCCCTTCTGGAAGTTCGTGGCGAGGTACTTTTTCCAGCCTTTGTGGATATATTCTTATTTAGATATGGCGAGAAGATCTACTCCCTCTCGGGTAATGTAGTTACGAGTACGACACGACATCCAGTTTTATTTAATTTTTTATGAATGAACCCGGCAATCGCTGAATGAACCGAACCCGAAGTTCGTCAGACATCAATTGTTTATGTTTTATTAAAAAATATAGTTAGACCATGAATATATATATTTATTTTTAAGGAATTCTATTAAGGTTTAATGAAAATTACCCATTGTTCAATAGGTGTCCGCTTGCTGGATTTCTATTGTCAGTTCCTAAAAAAAAAGTACTCCCATTAGAGAAATTCGACTTTTACAATGAAACTAAAAAATATTTAAAAAAATGCAATTCATAGTCGATTTAGAATTAATTAAAGAGTGGTATTAAATATTTTGACATTATTATTGTATTAGTGTGAAAGCGAATTGAGCATCGGAGTTGAAAAAAGGTTAATAGTCCGGTAACTAGCACATTTACCCCATTTTATAAATTATTACCAATTTTATAAACTAGTAATGCTATCGGAATATTTGTCAGAAATCAAAAATCAGTAATTTTTAGCTTTAATCTAAAATTTTTTGACTTTTTTAAAACAAATAATAAATAATATTTTGAATTTATTTAGATGACGACGATTATATACGTTCTGGTTTTATGACCCTACAACACACCATCGACAAAGTATTCATCAGAAATCACAACAGCCAGGAAATGGTTAATTTTGACTTTGAAATCGCTTCAATGCCTACAATTGCCCAAGAAACGATAGACTCCCAGCGAATTATCTGGTTTGGCTCACTATATTCAGTTCTATTTAACGTATTATTACTCAGCACATTTCTTGTGCCTCTCGTTGAAGAAAAACAAAATGGTATCAAGGTAAGGAAAATATCAAATTCTTGTTTGGAATATAATTCAATATTCATATTTTGTTTAAAGGAATTTTTAGCAATTGCAACTCCTATGAATTTCTTGAATGGCGTTAGCTTTTTTGTTATCAGATTGTGTATGTATACAGCGTTAACCGTTGTCGTACTTATAGCTGGATGGTTTTATCAGGCTTTTAGTGCAATTGTTCCAGTTCCTTACATAATTACCTTGTTCGCTCTTTACATACTCTCTGCAATGTCTTACACATATCTCATATCCGTATTTTTTCACTCTGGTAAGTTTGTGGAAATTGTTCTAATTTATGTATTTTAGCGAAATAAATTAAAAATTATAAAATCATTGCAGTTTTTCATGCAAAAGTCGGTGGACTTTTGATGTTGGTAACGCCATATATTTTATACTTTTCGAAGGGAGGAGTCTCAACATTTGCAAACATTTTCAACACTAAAACATTTATGGAGGGAATTAAAAACTTTCAAATCTTCACCAATAAATGTAATATTTATTGACACCTCTGTGCAATCACACATGTATATAAAAAGCTTTCATACTCAATTTATTTATAAATATTTTCAGATCGTGAAGTCGGCCCAAGTGTGCTTAACGTACATATCACAGAGTCCACATTTACTGTCTTATCTGTTTATAGCATTCTAATAATGCAGTGCTTAATATACGCCTTTTTATATAATTATTTGGCTTTCGTTTTTCCTGGTCCGGGTAGCTTGCAGCGACCTTTCTTTCTGCCATTCATGGTGTGTAAAAGAATTCTATTTTCTATTGTTGGACTGTTTAATATATGCATTTTATGTTGTACTATTTTTTCTTAAATTTTAGTCGTTATGGAAGAAAAATAAACCAAGCACTGAATATGCAACAAATAAAGTTGGAGAGGATGCTATTATTATTCAAGATCTTAATAAATCCTTTAAAAAACCAAGGCGAATTATATCCGACGGTCTTAATATCGCATTTAAAAATAAACAAATCACAGTCCTTCTTGGTCATAATGGAGTCGGGAAAACTACAACACTGAACATGATTATGGGTAGGTACAGTTTACTAAAACTCTTCTTATGTAATATATAGCAAAATTTTATATTTATGCCATTATCTTGGTGTCGTCGAATGACGACATAATCGTCATTTTATTTGTCATTAAATAATAATTTTAGCCACCGCAATAGCTGAAGTTCTACCGATGCAAGCTAACTGGTTGAGGGTCAGGGTTGCTAGCTAGATCAACATCCAAAATAGTAGAAACAATTGTGTATTATTATTATTATTTATTATTGTTAGGAGACGGACCGACAGTGGAAGTGATAAATCTGATACCGATGCTTGCTCGATATTGCCGTCTGGCCAGAATATTGATGACTTATGTTCGAAAGAGCACTGCTATCTCGACGACCTTTCCCACTTCTGCACTGCAAGACAATTACGACTCCAACAGCAGTTGAACGAACCATCACCCAGGCTCATCAGAAAGGGAGTACTAGACCTTAACGACTGAATTCAGTACCACCTACTATAGCCGCTGGACAGCACAGCTCACCGACAGGAATTAAACGCCATTCGCCGAGAGTCCGTCAACACCTTTCTGAACTCTCTTCCAACGAAAGGCGTTCTCGGATTCAAACCTTCACCTATTGCAAACGTAGTGGTCGACCTGCCTCGAGAGTCTCGCGTAATGCTGGCTAAAATTAGATCTGGGACTACTTATCTCTATCTAAACTTGACCCCGACATACCCAACGTATGTCCTGCATGCAATAAGTCTGCGCGAGAAACTAACACCCTTTGCTCCTTAAAACAAACTCATCTAACCTCCCTTTCACTACGGTCCGAGCCCATCGAAACAGCTTATTTCCTGTACCTCGCGTTTGGTGACCTCGATGGCTTAGACTGACCTAGCTTGTCCCTAAGCGGGGTTAGCAAACCGCTACAACAACAACAACAACAACAACAAGAGGAAGTGATAAAGTTTAGTAAGCATATAAATGAAATATTCAATACAATGAATGACTAGAATAGCAAATTTCTAAGTAAGATGTTGAAAACTGTTGAATGTACTCAGGTATTTGTGTGAGCACTAGGCTCGTATCAAAAATTGGGGGTAACCCTAATGGGTCTTCTCCCGATGCCCGTGAGTCATTTGAAGCTGCACATCCGTCAATCGCATGATGAGAAGATGAATTCCATTATAACCATTATAACTTCACTGATCACCTGAGAATATAATTCTTGCATGCATGCAAGCCAGCGCCTAAAGTTGTGCAAAGAATTACGCTTCTCGCGTAAACAAATAAGCACTAATATTGTTATTATTGTTGCTTTTCTGAATGTATTTTTATTAGGTTCCGAAACTCCAGATTCGGGTAAAATAACAGTTTTTGGAGAGCAAGAAATTGGATCATATCGCCATTTGATTGGATATTGTCCACAACATAGCGTTTTTATGCCTTATATGACTTGTGCTGAACATTTGAATTTTTTCGCTCAGGTGCGTTACAGTTGTTGTTGCTTTTTCTTAAACCATATACATATATTTTATATACAATTCCTCACTAAAAAAACAAATACAGGTTCGAGGTATGTCAATACAAGATGCATGTAAAATTACGGAGGACTTATTAATTAAGCTTAATTTACAAGAGAAAGCCAATGAATATGGTATTTGTCTATCTGGAGGCATGAAAAGAAGACTATCCTTAGGAATTGCTATTTCTGGCAATACAAAGTAGGTGCTCTTCATATTAACGATCGGAATTATGATTTTAATATTATCAAATCGTGCTGCTCTCAGAGTGGTTATTTTAGACGAACCTTCGTCGGGTTTAGACATTGAATCACGTCGTGAATTATGGGATATATTGCTTCAATTGCGAAAACTAAAAGCCGTTTTAATTACAACACATCACATGGAAGAAGCAGAAATGTTGGGCGACACAATTGCCATACTGGCTAATGGGCGTGTTCACTGCTCTGGATCACCACTAGAACTCAAACGCAAAATTGGACGTGGATACGTGCTAAAACTATGTCTTAATAGGAGTGAAATACAGGAGAAAATTTTAAATATAATTCAACAGATTATACCCACTGCTAAAATTTTGGTATTTACATATTCCTATTTATATGCTAGATTTCTGATTAATGATTTGATTTAAATTTTCTGAAATGAATTTAGACAATAGTGCCGCCTGCATTGCATATAAGCTTACCGTATGAAAACAAAAAAGAATACAGTCAAGTATTACAACTATTGGAGGGCAGACAAAACGAATTGGGCATTGAGTCAATTTCTATCTCAGATGCTTCACTGGAGGACGTTTTCCTGAAGTAAGTGGCATTAGCTACACTTAACGGCATGTAGTATTAACAATTTATTTTGCTAATTAGTTGTTTGTCTGAAATTGATATTGTGGATGGGCTCGTATCGGATAAAGAGAAAACTGTATATATACCATTTGAAACAGACGAATTTCATATAAGCTGGAGAGAACAAGCAAAAGCCATTTTTTATAAAAAGTTTATATTTATCAAAAATAAGTGGGCTTATACTTTATCAATGGTAAGTTTTCTATGGAAAAGTTCAAGTATTTATAAATCAAATCAAATTACCTAAACTAAGGTTACATATGTACATATATGCAGATAACATCTTAAAATAGTCAGTTAATAATTTTTACTCATATGTATGTATATGTATTGTAACTAAATGTAATTTAAAATATATAGGTGCTGCTTCCGCTTTTGAGTCTTTTAATGGCTTTAGCTTTGATGCATTCTATGTCACTAGTCACTAACGAGGACAAATTGAACTTGAATTTGAATCATATTCAGCGCGGCGTTATTTTGGTCGATGGCTCTAATACCGAAATTGTGAATATTTTAAAGGCGGAAATTGAGAAATATCATAATATACGAATAGAACATCTTGGTAATAAGAGAGGCGAAAACGTTACAGATTGTATGTGTTATAATATTTGTAAATATGTATATAATCTATGCTTATATATGTTTTTAGTTTTGATTAGTTTGCAGTATGAAAATTTGGCATATTTTCTGGAAAATTATATCGGAGTGATTGATGTAACCACTGAGGATAATGACAATATCAATTTTAACATCTACTTCTCTGGCAATATATATCATAGTTCTGTAATTTTATTGAACTTAGTTGATGATGCTATCGCGCGTTGGAAAATGGGTGAATCCGGAGGGATCGAGACAACTTATGTGCCTATAAGAAGGTACATTTTTTCAAATTCCTAAAATTCTACTCCTTTTACCGCCTACATATATACATATGTATATATACTATTTTTCTGAAACAGATACATTACTGATGTCAGTCCGACGCGTTTGGAATACTTTGCAGTCATAATGCCAATTGGTAGCTATTAGAAAATATTTACTTTAATATGGAGAATTTTAATATGAAATTTTGAATTTATATATAATTCTGTAGGGCTATTTTTCAGCATTTTCTTTTACGTTGCATTACCTTTCCACGAGTATACAAATGGTTTCAAGCAGTTGCAATCTATTCCGCGACCAGTTTTCTGGCTTTCGACGTTTGCTTTTGATGTTGCACTTCATTTTTTTGTGTGTTTGCTCCTGTTCTTAGCGCAAACCACTGTAACACCGAGTGAATTGTATAATTCATCAGAGCAATATCTCATCGTTGCGTCTATTTTCTTCTATGGATGCAGTTATCTTCCAATTATATATAGTTTGGCAAATGCTTTTCGTTCGATATCAACGATTTCAACATATATGCTTTTCATGCTTATACTATCTGGTAGATCAATTAATGTAAACTTATTTTATTGTTTTATGTACATAACAATTGAATTTTTATGACAGCTATTGTACCATTGATAACATCCGGGAATGTACGTGCCATGGAGTATCATGAAGAGAAAATACATATACTGCAACTCCTACCAGATTTTAATTTAAACCATCAATTACGCATTATCAATGAAAGATTCTTACTTATTCGTCGAAATGCACTCACTGCTATCCATGGATTACCGCAAGTACTTAGTAAAAATAATTTCTTCATTTACGCAATTGCAATTGCAATTTTTATAATGGTGAGTTCATAAATAACTACCACCTTTGAAGGTGAATAATAAATTCCAAATATTTCAGGCAATCTTTATATACATTCAAGAAAACAAATATACAAGTGAAAAATTAAAACACGCACTGAAATGCTATCAGTGCCGTCAAATAACTGTTAGCAATGCTGAAAACGACGATGACGAAGAAGATTTAATAAGAAAAGAAAAATTGGCTATTACCGACATCTTAATTGGTATATACATAGATTTTTTTTTTTAGCAAATTACAAATTTTATCAAGTAAACTTTTTTTTTATTTGTTAGGAAAAAGTGAAAGGGATTATCCATTGCTGGTAAATGATTTGCATAAGTCCTATGATCGTAAAACAGCTGTACGTGGTTTGAATTTTGTTGTAAAAAGGCAAGAGTGTTTTGGTTTATTAGGCATCAACGGTGCCGGCAAAACATCAACTTTCCAAATGATAGCTGCAAATTTGACTATCACCGGTGGTACCATAAAAATTGATGGTATCGATATTAAGGAAAACGAATCGCAATACCGTTATCATTTTGGATATTGTCCTCAAAGCGATTGCTTAAATGAATTTATGACTGCATATCAAATGCTGTTCTATATGGCAAAGATGCGTGGCATCTCAGATTCTACAAAAGCGAACAATGAAGTTTTATATTGGCTACAGCAATTAGATCTCAAAAAATATAAAGACATGAAAATTTGTCACTTTTCTGGTGGTACTAAGCGAAAGTTAAATGCTGCGATAGCAATGGTAACGAAATGTATATCCATTTAGGTTTTGTATTTGATATATTTATGCTGATATTATTCCTAGATTGGTAGTCCCTCGCTTGTCTTGCTGGACGAACCAACAACAGGTGTGGATCCAGAGTCGCGACGTTTTCTATGGGAATGTATAAAAGACTATCAACATCGTGGCAATACCGTTGTACTTACATCGCACAGGTAAATATTATATTATGCGCGCAATAAAGTAATGTAGGTTAGGTTAGAGTGATACTACAGCATATTTCTATTTTTCTTAGAAGAATAAGGCGCAAAACATAATTAGTTACCTAATTTTGAGTCCTACGAAAAATATTGAATTTCCAAACAGTTTTTTTTTCCATAATAAAACAAATGTTATTTTGATTTTCTATTTGAGGAACTTTTGGGCCAGTAAACTTAGCGAAAAATTTTTTCAGATTTTCTTTTGTAGAACTTTAAATTCCTTATAGACATATATTAACAGATATATTTATATTTTTAAACATTTCCAGCATGGATGAATGTGAGCAGCTGTGCAATAGACTAGCAATAATGACTGATGGGAAATTCAAATGCTCGGGTTTTGTTTCTGACATAAAAAAGCGATTTGGTGGTGGATTTACGATCAAAGTAAAACTTAAGTCCGAAGAGGATTCTATAGTTAATTATGTAAATGCAGAATTAAGTAAAATATTTACTCAATGCCAGCTCCGAGAGAATCATGCTGGTATTCTTACATATTATATCAATAATATTGATGACTTCAAATGGTCTGAAATTTTCGAAAGAACGGAAGAATTTAATAGATCAAACACAGGCATTGTGGAAGATTATTCTTTAAATGAAACAACGTTGGAAGACATATTTTTAAAATTTGAAAGCAAGAGAAGATCACATATACAAGAGCGGGATATTAATGATTTGGAAGTCTAAATCTTGGAAAAAAATATCTGATTATATACCGAAGTAAGTTCACGGAACATGTCTGATAAGAATGCAATGGACATTAAATTTACCAACATTCTGTGATTTTAATTTTTTTCATTACCTACATATGATGTATATGTATGTACCACATCAATAATATTGATGTATTCAAATAGTTTAAAACTTTTGAAAACAATATAATTGAAGTATTTAATGGGCGTGGTTGAAGATTACTCAGTCAAGGAAACATCGTTTGAACAAATGTTTTTAAAATATTTAAGAGCGGCTAAATCAAGAAGAAATTAACGATTTGGAATCCTTAATTCCGATGTTCTCCACTTATGACTTACTTACTTATGATAAAAAATATTCTTAGTACTAATTTAATTTGCTGTCGAATTACTATCGATAGAGCATGTGTTCAAAATTTGATTCTCTATATATTTTAATGACATTCCTAAATTCCAATATTGCTCATTCATAATTTAAAAACAATCTAAATTGTATTTATAGCTGCATATATCATCACTATATCTATATACATATACATATGCATTAATTTATGACTATAAAATTAAAATAAAAATTTTTGAGCAAAAGAAAATATATATTTTTTAGTGCGAATTGAAATTGTAAAAACTGCAATGTAATATATTTTCCTAAAAGCAGCCGCTATAATCTCGTCATAATTTAGAGCTGGAATCAACAAAGTCTAGCCCTAGGAGTTGTCAAATTAAAGCTTTTTCGAAGGATTTATGACAACGGCTTATACCGCAGTCAATGGAATTATCTATACGACTTATTTACATTTGATTAAATTGAAATTGAATTTGAATAGAAAATTGTGAGATATATTTTATAAAAAAATGTAATTATTTAGGTGTCAAACCCTATTGACTTTCGAAATTATTATTGCCTTTTCCTTTTATCGGTTGTTCAAACTATTCATGCAACTCTGGGCATTAATGTTAAAGTTGGCCACGATTGACAACGAAATGAAACGCAAAATGGTGATCAAAGACTAGGAATAATAGCGAAGTTTTTCTACTTCCGACTGTCGGATAGGCAGAGAGACAAACCGAACATTTTTTCAGTCTAAGAATCGCCATCAAAGGAATAACCTTTACTACGCCGATATCACGAATTAGAATATTTATTGTTAAGCCATTTCATTAATACGACCTCAGATACCAAATTAAAAAAAAAGTTGGTGCAATAGTTTTGTGACGTGTAAGGTCCGCTTAAATGTATGTGATTCTATCGTCGATAAATATTTTGTCGATAATAAGATATCGGTTATAAACAAATGGTTGAAGAATTGTACTGGACATATTTTTGAAGTATTAATTTTGTAAACAATCAGTGTAGCTTTTTTTTAAAAAGTAAAAGTATGCCGAAAGTTGTTTCACGAAGTATTGTATGTTCAGATTCCAAAGATCAAGAAGAGTATAATGAGGAAAAGCCCTTGAATATTTATTATTGTCTTTGTGGGAAACTAACATTGATTCTTGGTAAAGTTTAGTGTTTTGCTATTGCACATGTATTTACTAATTTACAATTTATAATAGATTGGGCAATTGACATCTTACCATTACGTCCAGCCGACGGAGCCAGAGTAATCGATGGTAAAAAACATGCCCACAAACTCTCTTTCCAAGAAGGGCAGTCCCTTTACATTAAACGCGAAAAAGGATATGAACGCCAATATCGTCTAAACGTAAGATTCACTTACTACCAATTTAGTTTTTAATGATTGTGAACGATTTTTAGTATTAGGTTAATAACAAAAAAGCATTTATTAGATAAAATATTAATACTTAAACCACATGGGTATTATTTATTTCTTTATCGTTTATATTATTTTCCTTTTTAACAGTTTGTAAAGATAAATCAATATATTTATTTCATTATTTTGTATTCCTGAAGTGTAAATATTGTAGTCTGCCTTTGTACTACCGACATGATCAAGCTTCCGACGTCACTTTCATAATTCGAGGATCTTTGGTGCGGAAGAAGATGGATAGTTTGCTCGAATCGGAAGAAGTTATGACAGCGGATTCATGCATTGAGGGCGTTGGTTTTGGAGTGGGAGAAAAAATTATGGTAACACGACATACAAAGCACATGGGAAAGTTTAGTTCGGTGACTGTCTCAACAATTGACGAGGAAGAAGATGAAATCGAAGCTGTAAGGAAATCTATTAATTATAAATTAAATTATTATACCCGGCTGTTGTACTGCATCTAAAAGATGTATAACATTTGTTCAATTAACGGTTGCATATCTGTGTTTGATAAACCAACATAGTGACATAGTCCATTCAGTTCCACTTTCGTATCCGAAAGCGATGGTGCGAATACAGTCGGGTATCTAATGTTTGGCACCAACCGAACTTAGTAATGCTTACAAGCTTTACATGTGTATATTTTTCTTTATTTTAGCGTGAAATCGCAGATAGTTATGCAAATAATGCAAAAATTATAGAGAAGCAACTGCAACGGAAAGGCGGTGCAGCACGCAGTAAAATAGACGAAGTACCTAAAGCAAAGAAACCGAAAGGAACATTGCTTAACATGTAAAATAATTTATTGAAAAGGATGTAATATATGTAAATGATAGTTGTACCGTTAATTACCCAACAAACAAAAAAAATTTTATTTAATTTGGAACCAAGTTTGCTTGAATACAAATCTATGATGTTTTATTTACAAAAATCTACATACAAATATGTATACCCTATATACATAACTGGCGCTTTATAACTGCTGAAGCGGTTTTCGGTGAGTCAACAGTTAGCAAATAGAAGTAAAGCGATAAACGGATTAGACAGCCATAGTCAAAGACTAAGGGTAAGACCAGAGCATGCATTCTTATTAAAATCAACATTTATTAATTTTCCATGAATACAGAACGCAAACGTACAGAGGCAGTGAAGCTCATCCTTATTTCCTCATATCTGACACCTCATCTTATCACCGAATCAGCTGCGAAAGCTATAAAAGGGGCGCATGATAATTAAATTCCTATGATTGTTGGAGCCGATGCAAATTCTAAAAAGATTATATGTGATTCTAGTGAACAACACTTGGGGTGAGTATCTTCATGATATCATTTTAAAAACTATTAAGCAGTCTGTAACTCTGGAAACAAAACCGTTTTTGTCACGAATATATTTTGATCTCACTATGAAATAGAAAGATGACTGAACTTTTTATTTTATGAAAATACTAACAGCATTCTGCGCAGAAGTAGTTTTCACGATAAGCTCATCTTGTCGGTAAGATCCGATCAAGTGATATCTATTACACGAAATGGTTCTCTCTGTGAGATTATGCTTCGCTGTGCAAGTAATACTCTGGGACATCAAAAGGTTTCCTGTCACAGACCTGAGGCCGCTGTTTTGGCAGCCTTGCAGTTTCTTTGTTTGCGTCTCGATAGTCCCCGGCGCCCTGGTTGGTGCAGCATGTTTCGGTCGGAGGACCAATTGGTAGGTAGGTAGGTTGCCAGCATCGTTTCTTTTCCCCAGGAGCTGCCAGCTAACGCTTTGAGGATTTAGCAGCGGCTCTGGAGTTTTTGCGGCAATTGCAGTCGTATGAGTGTGGGCTTTCGAATGTGACTCCCAATAACATCTTTAAAATTGGCTCAAAACTCAAAGCATAAAACTCTTCCACTTTTAATTGCAGTCTGAACCTACAAACAAATGGCTTCGGTTAACGAAGGGTTTTGTCAGCATTGCAATCAGACTACTTGTTTACTGTTTTATACTTACGACTTTACAAATTCACTAACATGCTCGATCCAAATGGGTAATTTTAAGAGTACTTCGAAATCCGCAATACTGTTTTGTTGTTGTTGTTGTTGCAGCGGTTCGCTAACCCCGCTTAATCACAGGTTTGATCAGTCTAAGTCGCCGAGGTCATCTAATGGGAGGTCCAGGAAACGAGCTGTTTCGATGGGGTTGGATTAGAGGGAGAGGGGGGTTAGATGAGTTGGTTTGAGCGGGCATGTGAAGAGGTTTTGTTGTTTTCGGGGGCCGCGGCAGCCAGAGTGGTTAGCATTGCGAACTGCCATTGTGTGTCGTACAAACATCCAAAAAGTTATAGAAAATTAATTTAAATAAAAAATTAAGTTTAAGTTTCTAATTGCGGTCGCCCCTAGGCAGTGAATATGTACTCCTGACATGAAATAGAATCTTCTCATAAAAAACCGTCAGGAAGCGGCTTAGTATAAACTGTAGGTACTTCCATTTATTTGGAAAAACATCAAGACGTAAAACCACAAATCGGAGAAGGTGCTCGGCCGAAAAAGGCTTCAGGGTTTACAAAGCGCCAACTATATTTATATAATACTGTACTGCTCCCAGATCTTTTATCGTTTTTAACAGTGTTTTGTTCCGAGATCTTCTGGATGCAAAAAATAATAATGTTGACCAGATTTTCTTTCATTACAAGAAAAACCCATAATAATTATATTCAAGCCTCCATTATTTACAACCTTTCCGTGCGTATTTGCAAAAGGCAATATAATAATTTTTTGCAATCAAATTTATGATACACTCCTACCAATAAGTATAATTGTTTTATTCAGTTCTATTTTTTTTATTTTATTAAAAATGCCAAAGTAAACGCAATGTTAGCATTCCTCGTAATTATATATTTATATGTTCTGTGGAAAAACCATGATACACTTTAAGCAAAATTGTGGGTACAAATATAATAATTACCCATACGTTATGCACATAATTGCACACCTATGTTTTTCCATTTGAAATGTCTTACTGGTTATGTTCTTTTTTTATTTATTTATTTCCATTTTTTGTTTGAAGAGTTGAAGGGGTTTGAGTCTGTGCAAAACTATTATATTATAAATAATGACAAACAAAAATTTTTAGAAAAGCACGCTGATAAAATTAGACTTTATATGTATGTATATGCCATGGAATGAATAAAATTTCAAGTTGAAAACCTTCAAAACGAAAGAAAGTTTAGTGACATGTAAGCATATAGCTTTGGCGCTCACATTAGATTTTGATGTGCATTTGTTTTTATTGCATTTTATTCTTTTTGATAATGATTTATAAAATATGATTTATAAGATGTAAGCGCAATGTCTGTGTCAAGCATCCATATCCCTCATTATTTATTAATATTTCGCTGTAACAGTTTGATTGGCTGATTCAAGCATTTATAATAATGATCTGATTATATGTTTTATATCATACGCAGTTTTGATTCATCTTCTCCATACATCATGGTATATTAACTTTCATTCCACTACTTTATCGTGCACAACAAAATCTCTTTAGTATTGTAATTTACTGGTCCTCATCACCAAGTTCATGTTTAATTTTTGAAAAATCAAAATCTTCACCAGTTCCACGTTTGAATATATCCAATACATCCAAACAAGTTGTCTCAAAGTGCGTAGTAGCATCATAAGATTCAGAAATAAAAATCTGCGAATCAATACCATTGTCAATCGGCTCCAAATAGTCAGAGATCGTGATAAACTTTTGTGCAATTGGCTCCAATAAATCTAACCCATGCTTTATCTCATTCTCGGGCTGATCAGTTTCTACAGTAGTTGACACCATACCCACAAACCAACCTTTAGCAGCTACCTGGTGAGTATAACTGACAACAGAAACGTAAATGTCTGATTTCCGTCCAACTTGCTTTTGAGGAATGATTATCTGAGTAGATAGAGCATCCTTCGTGTTCGCAACTGGATGATCCAAGATGCAAATGCATCGGATTACTTTACCCTTCCTGCGTACCTATATAAACAAAACAAAAATTCGTTTGTTAATTACCTAGGAACCGGTTAGATTTTAGATCAGGGATATTATCATGTTATAACAAACTTTTTTCGCATATATTACCTTATCAGGTACGTAACTGGGGTCACAGTAGACTTGTTTGCATTTGGCGACTTCATCTCCAGAGCGTACGCCGACTACTTTGCCACCTTCACCGAGTACGATTTCATCAATAGGTTTATCTAACATATAAGTACCACCATATATGGCAGACAAACGTGCAAAGCCTTGCGGCAATTCACCAAGTCCATACATAGGATACAAGTACGGCGACTTTCCATATCGGGCCAGTGAATCTGAATAAAGCTTAATACGACGAATGGTATTTGCAGCTGGCTCATTCAAATACTCATCATCTCGGAAGAGAGCCAGTGCGTGACCAGTAAAATCCTGTGTATTTTTATCCAAACCGAATTTGTCATAAAGGGCCTGCATGTTCGATTTAGATGGATCAAAGTCCTTCCAGGTCTTTGGATCGTCTTCCTTGAAGTCCTGAACGTAAACCAAAAAGTTGCGGAAACGACGTTTTTCAAACATACCTTGAAAATTAAAGCAATTATTAAAATTTATACATATTAAAGTCATCCATTAGTTCAAAAAGAATATATGTAGGTTCTAATGTAATTATGGTATTTTTTTCGAGTCCAAGTCATTGTTACACATTTGGCTTCAAGATCCGCTGAAATCTTATCACGCGTAAAATGAGCTCCAACGTTTTAAATATCGAAGATACGCATTCATATTTATATACATCTCAACTTATTCATGTAAAATACAAATTTTAGACGTTTGAGTACTAGTTATCAATTTATTATTCCAGTTCTATGTTAATTTATGAGCTCAAGATACAAAAAAAAAATCTCTTATTCTTCGTAAGGCCAAATCAATCCCAGTATAATAAAACATAACTTAAAATTTGTATTAGTCCTTTAATTTATATTAACTACCAGGAATATTAAATGTTAGTTGCTGTAAGCGCACTAAATCTTCATAAAACTTACTAATTCGACTGCGACATGTAATATTATTTGTCAGGTTCTAATTGGACTATCCAAAAAGATATTTCTTCATTTGGTTTGGTGACTCCACTAAGTCCCATGTATATTGGAAAAAAGAAGAATGCATTCGAGCACTTCTTTTTATCGCATCCTTTTTTTAAAGGCCAACGTGCCCTAGTTGACATTTCTCTGCATCCTACAACTGAACATTATGCTATCAATTAAAATCAGCCTTTGATTTTTAAGGTCCATTTTTTATCCGTTATATATATAAGTTTTTTAAAAGTAGTACGAATGGAAATTAAACGGTTCCGAATTGAGTGACATTAAGTAGTTTATATAAGTCAGTATGTAAAGATCATACTAGCAGCTGATTGGATTAATTCGACGACCACAACCATGAACATGAAAGATGTATTTCGAATAGGTTTAATTCAAATTAGAAAGAAATCGCTGGTTTTAAGAAAAACTGAAGATTATAAAATTAGTCTTACTTCACAACAAATAATTAAATTTTGTTAAAAAATTGTTTTATCTTCCAAATGAAGTTTTTACATTAGTTATTAGTAAAAAAAACAATTGAAAATAAGCCCTAGTGATTTATTTGATAAATTCCAATATAACATATTTTTGCATGTATTTGTATATATGTATGCAAAGCAAATATATGTGTATGTGCTATTTTAATTTTAAGTAATTTTAACTCGGCTTTGTCTGTTGGTGAATTATGGATAGTTCGACTAACTTCCATTGCAAAGAAACTACATTTTGAGTCTTAGGCTTTACATTAAAGCAGTGTTATTGCTCTTGCCTTTGTCTAAAAAAAAAATATTTCGTTGAATTACCGACAATACGTGTCACACCGAATTATAAGAGATGTAATACCGAAGATAAAAAGTGTGAGAAAAAGTGCAATTAAGCAATAAAATAAAATATTAGTTAGTAATGTGACGTTTTTGTTTTTCGTGTAGCTATTTAGCAATATTTAGACGTTACTTACCCATTAAATCAGAAGCTAAGGCTTCTTTTTGATCAACTGGAACCTTCGCAATTTTCCCCCCTTTATACACATAGCTCCCTTCAATGGATTTGAACTCAAGATAACGAGTTACGCCCGTATGGATTAGCAATTTGACCAATTGCCCGTTGGCCATAAGAAACTTTGGTATGAGATCAACATTCCAATCACGACCACGCCCATATTTTTCACCAGGAGCCTCAACGTTGTAACGTTGAAATAATTCCTCCAACGGTGTAATCGAAGCTGATTCACCGCCATAGTACTTGTTTCGGTCGATATGCAAAACTTTCTTTCCCGATACAGATAGCATACCACTTAAGATACACTCCTTCAAACCGGTACCAAGAACAATTGCATCATACTCTTCATTCATGTTTGAAAGTAAAAAAATTTATTAGATTATTAAGAATTTAATATTTTTATTTCAGAAAATTTTCTTTCTTTTATATGTATCGAACCGAAGACCACTTTCGTCACCAACACGGTCGAATGCTCAATAAAATTTTCTACTTGTGCATGAATATTAGCAAAATCAAGAGAAAAAGAGATAACAAGTTGTACACACATAAGGTAGAGTCTACTCACAATTTCAAGAGTTCCCTAGTCATAACATAAATATTTGTTTATGCAGATTGTTATGCGACGTTAATACTAAGTATACAAATAAAATATCCAGTACACTAGTGAACTGGAGTTATATTCGCATTCATCTTTGTTTTTTGCTGCGTGGATGAAAATAGAGCAGAATTTATAGATCAAATGAAAAAAACAAACTGTTATCTGGATAAGAGTACCGTGTCTGGCGAATGATGCTTAGCCTTCGTTACGCCGTTTGCCTTTACCGTCGTACTTGACAACACACGGTCATTGACAGCATTTTATATATTTTCAGATTTTATTTCTTTGCCATGCGCCAGCTGTCATCTTACTCAACTTTTTAATTTACATGTTTGCATTTGCAATCTTTCAAAAAAAATTATTCTCTCAGCTGTCAAAATAATCTGTGACAACTATAGTGAAAACAGGTTGTCAAACGTATCACACGAAAATTTTACGAGAGTCTTTTACTTCACTACTATATCGACATTTCAAAACACATTAATGAAATACATATATGTATGTTATGTTCGTTATATTAAGTTGGAAAAATATTCCACTTCCATTTTTCCTTAAATAAAATTTCAATTCAAATCCGCCCGTGCTGCTAATGTGTTACAAGTATCTACAAATACGTAGTTCGTCAAACTTGTTCGTTCATTCGTTCTTAGAATGTAATAAGTGAGATAGTGGGCACGTCCTATTAGTCGGTAAAAGTGGTTTAGGAGTAACTACAAAACAGATGCTAAACTGTGTAGTAAAGCAAAAACAGGTTCTCATCTATTTTTCTATCGTTCCTTTGATTGCATAGCTCACTGTTTTTAACTTTTAATTATTAGGAACAAAACTTAATTCATAAAATCATAAATTTAAGGCGTGAAATTAGTAAAAAATGCTAAGTGGTTCGTAATAAATTAAAAACCTAACTATGTTTAAAGCAAACATAAAAATAATTTGAGACAATTTGTGCTTTTGTCAGTGTGCTTTTCATGTTCCTATTGTATATGTAGGAACATGTGTATATATTGCTAAAAAAATAGAAAATTGTAGAGAAGGTGTATAAATTGATAAAAAAAAATATAGAAAATTACTGTGGAATTCTATTCAGAAAACTTAAATTGGGAGGTTCTTTTTTTACCTTACCGCTAAAATCAGCAATTACCATGTTTGCCCATATTATTTATAAAAGATAACAAACTAAGAAATGAAAATTGTAGAAATAAAATGTTCAAGTTAATAAAAAAAGTGTGCATTTTTATAAGTATATATGCATACGGTTGCTTCTAATAACGACATAAATTAAAACCTGTTCCAGTTCATGCATGTACAACATAGTGGACAATGTATTTTGCTGAATCCGCTTAATTGCAAATCTCGATATTGCCTGCGTCAACAATACGAAACGAACAACAGCAGCGAAAAAGGCCACTGTTTTGTATACGTAAGCATAATCTAAAAGAAATTAAATTTTCAGCTAATATTTGTTTGGCTGGGATGAAATTGTTTTGTATGATTGAAATTGATGCAACCATATGCAAATGAGAATATTTGCACACCAAAATATATCATTTTATGTTAATATGAGTAAAGTATGTGCACCAGAACTATGGAATAAGTTTGTAAAGCTCTACCGTGCTGGAGTAAAATTGAAGGCCACTGTGGCAATTCGCTAATCATTGCCTGAAATATTCTCTGGGGTAGAAGCGAATTCTTATCAGACAAACAAAAGCTGTAACTCTCTCCACACATCCAACTCAAAGTAATGAAATTTAATAAAATAAACAATTACAAACGGCCGTTTTTTTTCAACAGAAAATATATAGAAAAAAACGTAGTCAGAGATAGTAATTTTTATTTTGTTAAATATAGCCATTTTTCGTTTTCATGAAAGTTCTGTGAAAGGGTTTTTAGTATTTTCAGTTCCTTCGTTAAAAAGTATTCAGTTCTGTTATACAAAAGCGAGCGAAATTCATGTTAATATTAATCGTCTTATTCGGAGGCGCGTCATTACACTCAACAAAAAAGCTGTTATACTTCATAATAACTTTTCGCCTAATTATTTTCAACTAGCAATACAAACATACATATAATACAATAAAATTAAATATGTACATATATGCATTCTGCACATAACAATTGTAAATCTGCAATTTATTAAGTGTTGATATTGTGCAATTATTTCATATTTATTATTATTAAATTAATGTTTGTTCACAAAAATTTTATTTTCTTATTCATCAATTTCCATTTCGAACGCTTGGAAGTTGTTCTTTAAGTTTACCAGACATGCAAGAGCTTGTCATAAACCTTGAACGGTTCTGAGTTCTTTAAGAGATTCGGTTTTTATCTGTCGTGTGTCTATTCAAACATGCTCAGTAGCACCTTTTGCATCAGAACTAATGGTCAATAATGTTGGATGGCATGATTAATCCATGATAATTAATCAGTATTATACAGATCCTCTTTTTGGGGATTGCGCAAAGCACACGTACTACTGTTCTATACAAGATTAATAGAATACAAATATTGCCCTATTGCCTTGGCAACGTCATACTTTCGGTTCAAACCAAAACCTATATCATTTGAAGGCCCTGGTTGAAAACGCATAGTTTCGTTATCATTATGGACCGAATCGTGGTTAGGTGGATACATGTCGTCTCTCTATTCACTTATGATCGATCTATTTCCAGGTTTTTCGATCCGGAGACACCCAAGTAGTACCCTTGCAGAGGTGTTTCTACATTAAATTTTCTGACTAGAATAACTAACTACTTTATTCACCCTTCATTGAAGCAGAACATTTTGTTGTTGTTGTAGTGATCTGCTAATCCTGTTTAGGAGAAGGTGGCGTTCATAAAAGATACATACATGTGTACGTTTGGATAGATCGATATGTCGGAGAACTTCTTTTTGATGTGTGTAAATATCCCACGAAATTACAACAGTTACACAGTTAAAAATTAATTTAAAATTCCACTTCTATTTTCGATATTACATTTTTTAATAATAAAAAATCCGTCGAATATTCTCTTTTGTTTCAGAATTGTTTCGTTAAAAATAAAACACCGCTACATATCGCAATGAGTTTGACTTATAAAATTATCTTTAAGGATTAATAGTTGCATTACTGTTACGAACAAGTTGATGTTGATTGTGATTTTAGTTCCGTATACACACATGGTGTCTTGCAATAATGCCTTCAGCGAATACCGAAGAGCTGCGACGAAAGTTTACTGTTGTACATCAACAGCGATCGGCTCCGCCGACTTTGCCGGTGCCAAGTTTTGCATTAACTCCTAGCAGATCTACAGGTTACGATTCCCTAGATGGCGCCACCACCACCACCACAACATCAAAGATGCTACATTTAAAACAATCAATTCCCTTGCGGGAACCCGAACGTACCTATGTATTTCCGGGAACTGTAAATACTGGCAGTGGTGGACATGGTGGAAGCGTTATCGGTAGTATGACAACTGGTATACCTGGCGTGGCTGTTGTGTCTGCGCCTTCACACAATCTCGGTATTGTAACAGGCGGTCGCGGTCATACACGATCCGTGAGTCATGGCGGTGGCGCCATTTTAGGGCCAAGCGGTCGACCCATAAAATCCGCTATGAAAGGTCATCAGCGAGCGTTTTCACAAGGACAAATCACAGATTCACCGGGTACAACTGGTGCCTCACGTGGTCATAGTCGGGTTGGTTCGAAAACTGATTTCATCTTACCACCTGGTCACAAAGAAGAAACAGAAACACGCGACTTCGGTCCATCGGTTGCATCTTCAGCAGGCGGACGAGGTCATTCGCGGCAAGCTTCACGCTCCGAATCAATATATACACTTCGTCGTTCCGAAACACCACCTTGGTGGAGGCGCATAGTGGTATGCTATAATGAGAATTTCGACGAACGAAGCTATCGAATTGTTGTACCAAACCATACCGTTCCACCAAAGACACCGAAAAGGGATCATCCGAATGGAGATTTTGTCGGCAACAAGATTCGTACTACCAAGTACACATTGCTTTCGTTTGTGCCGAAAAATCTACTGGAACAATTTCATCGTGTCGCAAATTTGTATTTTATTTTCATTGTTCTACTGAATTGGTTCCCTGCCATAAATGCTTTTGGTAAAGAAGTAGCTATGATTCCAGTGCTCTTTGTGCTGGGCGTGACGGCGGTCAAAGATTTATTTGAAGATAGACGGAGGCGTTCCTCCGATAAGCGAATCAATAACACCACATGTCGTGTTTATGATGGGTAAGTTGTTAATTTATTATTCTTTATTAATAATTTCGATATAAAGGCTACTTAATCCTAGTTTTTTTTTTTTTTTCAAAATGAAAACAGAACCAGATGGCAATTGTAATTGAGGTTAATAAATTTATTTATTTGAACTTAATAAATTTCTACGGTTGGCAAAAATGCTTTATGTCATATCAGCAGATATAGACAACGTATGGAAAAAGGCTTCATTGCGTTTCTATGTTAAAAATATAGCTAGGGTACTTCTCACGCATCAAGTAAAGTTGACTCTGGGATTTGATCGCCTTAGTGCGGTTTGCACATTAATTATTCAAACAAATTGAAACACTTGCAATTACAATGCATAAAAGTAAAAAAAATGCCTGCAGTAATTTCTCTTACATAGAGTTCACACAGTGATGAAATGTACAATACAAAATCGAACATTTTAGAAACAAGGAATAAATCGTCAGTTATAATAACAACAATCAATCTTCAATTTCTACCAGCTTGGTCAATTATTTATTTACTATTAAAAATAATGAACATAACATCATTATTTGTGCAACATTTCTCCTCGTGTTGTGAATTTTTTAGTATAAGCCCCATTGCGTGCGAGAAGATGATTGTTTAGTAAATACAAGCAGCTGTGCCTTATTTTCATTAAAGAAAAATGAAAGGATAACCTGTACGGTCACAGTAGGTTAGCAGTGGGTAGCAGTGCGTGCAACAATGGGAAGGGTCACGAGTTCGAGTTTTGGCCAAATTAACATTTAAAATTCAACAACCAAAAGAGTTCTAGCTCTAGAAGCTTCTATTGAAAATCTTTTAGACGTTGCGAGGCTACTTGTAATTAAACTGCACGTTTCTCCTTTTGTAGTAAAACATTAAAAGGCGACAAAAAAAAATAGAGCAAAAGTTCGGCCGAAAATCTTATAACCGATTATAATCCTTGGGCATATATCCATATATGCATGTGAACGTAATGCACTACTATCGTGGGAACACATACGTCTTGTTTTGCACTATATAAAATTCTTTATAACGTTTTTATATTAATATATTTTTCCTTATTTTATTTTACATATGTATGTACATCTCATTGCTTAAAGAAATTACAATATATTGTATGCAATTCACTCGACCAAAACACCTCTCATTGGTATCCGGAATCATCTAGTATATTTATAAAATGTCCTAACCGCCTAATCAAGAGATTTTTCAGATTCATCTTGAGATTTTTTCACAACTTGAACTCTCTCCATAATTTAAATTTTTTTTCATTTGATCATAATTGTTCGGCGCTTGGCTTAAACTCATCTACAGAATGCTGCTTTTTGAGTAGCAACTTAAACTTGTATATAAGGTTAGGTTAACTTAGACTTGCTAAATGCTCCACCGTAAAAAGACCGATCTGTATTGAATCATAGAAACCGAGTACTCCCTTTCAGATGTGTTTAGGTGGAGGTTTGAGTAATAGTCTGTTGGAATTTTCTCGAAGGGAGCTTCCCAGTTTACGTTCGAGCTTAAGTTATCACCACCCGATTAGACGGCAATATCGAGCAGTCACTGGCATATGTGAGTTAAAAAATAGAAATGACCCCCCTCCCCCCCTGGTGAAAGACCGAGGCTTGAAATTTAACAATCAAAGCGGGGAGGGCACACTACCCTGCCGAACCTTGAAACTCTACCGTTAACTGTCGATCTTACAGGTAGTTAATAGACCACCTTTTGAATCCTGTTCGAAAGTAGCATTGAAAGCTCTCTACAAAACCAGTATTTTGTTAAGATATGAGGTTTTAGGTCAAAATTGGGTAAATAGCATTATACATACATTTAAAGGCGTGAAATTTTGTAATATAATTACGTATGTACATACATACGTGTACAAATACATATTGTCATCGAAAATCACCAAAACCCGAAGACGACATCACATATGTAGTTCCATAATCTCTGTGGATAAGGCACGGCTGTCGTAAGAGGTGACTATTCGATTTTAGTTCCGTCCAGAACAAAACGGATTTTTATTCGGCCAAGGACTGTCGCTCCCGCATTATTCCACGAAAACCAATTCGGGGAATATTATGCAGCGACAACAACGACATCATCATCGTGTAGCTCCCATATAAATGATTTGGTCAGATATGAGAATTAATATTTAATCATAGAAATACCATAGATTTGATATGATTTTCAAAGGCATAAAGATTTTGTCTTGCCAGTTTGTTCTAATTTTTTTTTATTATAATTTAGTCGGACTATCAACATTAAATTTATTTCATAATGATAATAACAAATTATAATAAATACAATTTTTTTAGTGAATCAGATCGCTATAAAAAGGTGAAATGGCAGGATGTTCGTGTTGGCGATCTGGTGCATTTATCCAACAATGAAACGGTACCAGCGGACATACTCCTTTTACGAACGAGCGATTTACATGGTGCCTGTTATATTGACACTTGTGATTTAGACGGTGAAACAAATCTTAAAAGAAGAGAGGTAATTGCTTTTGTTTTTGAACTATTCAATTTTAATATATTATTAAATAGAAAATATTACATCGTTATAGGTTGTACGCGGTTTCACTGATAAACAGAATATTTTTACGCCATGTAAATTTTTGAGCCGAGTCGAGGCTGATGCGCCTACTACAAAACTTTATAGATTCCATGGAGCCTTAATACATCCAACGGGTGAGCGTATACCCATTGCAACTGAAAATTTACTTCTGCGAGAAAGCCGCCTAAAGGTATATTATTCTGTCTCATTAATTTTTTGCTTTCTTTTTTAATGCATAAATATTTTTTCCGCAGAATACCGATTTTATTGAAGGAATCGTCGTATATGCAGGTCACGAAACAAAATCAATGCTGAATAACAGTGGTCCACGTTACAAGCGCTCTCAAGTTGAGCAGCAAATGAATATAGATGTGATATGGTATGTGTAATACGTACTTAAGTAGGCTATTTATTGCATATGAAATTCCTTCTTTTATTTTTTGAAAGTCGTATTCGAATGTTTCTAAAGAAAAAAATAATCGAGACAGATAAAGACTAGTTATAAATAGACATGAAATGAATGTGGCGCACCGTTTTGAAGAAGAGAAAATTTAAAAGAAAACATAATAGGGAGGTACTCTTTATATTGCCTACAAACGCTGCAAAAAATTCATAAATTATTACCTGAATTTTGACTTCAAGAAACAATTTTTTATATCACTGGTTATGAGGTCATCCGATCGATCAATTTTCATCGGGTGTACAATTTTTAATTTTTTAGTCCATTTTCTTCATAATTTTTATTCGCTTCTTTCGGCCAAGTCCATCATTCTACTTAATTCAGAATGATTTCTTAAAACAGTGAAAAATATGAAAAGATTTTTCGTGTAATAACTATCTAATTGGCCCAAAGGGAAATTTAGTCAAATGAAAAACTAATCGTTAGCGTTCAAAATCGTCTCAAAACTTTTACTTAATGATCCTAAAATTATTTTAAAAGGCTCAAATGTTTACGGACCTCTAAGCGGTATGCATTTACCAGCAACGAACAGATTACTTTTGTTTAGTCATTTGTTGTTGTTGCTGCTGGTACCGCGAAAATAGTAATAGTAACCACAAAGTAATTTTTGGGGAATGTTGCGGGAGTGACAGTCCTGAGTCGTTCCGGTATAAATACCCCTCCCTCTGCCGCTGGAACTATTTGATTTTAGTCGCCTTGTACGAAAGGCATGCCTTATCACGGTTAAATTCCTGAAGCCCTAGCCCGCAGGGGAATTTATTTACTGCTGTGCTAAAAACAGACAGGCGCGTCTTTATTTTCGCGATTTTCTTTAGTTCGATTACGAAACTTTTTTTTTTCATAAATTACAGTAAAGAAAAGAAAGATTTTAATTTCCATTTGAATATTAATAATTGTAGGCTGGCATTTCTTTTAGGTGTGTGATAATTTTACTAATATTATGCATTGTGGGCGCCGTTGGATGCAAAATGTGGTTGAGTTCTTTTGGACAATTTCCTGTACCATATCTACCTTTCGATGTTCATCCCAGTTATGAAGGTCTTTTGACTTTCTGGACATATATCATAATATTGCAGGTGATGATTCCGCTGTCCTTGTATGTGACGATTGAATTGTGTAAAATCTTACAAGTTTATCACATACACAATAACATTGATTTGTACGACGAGGATACCAATAAAAAAACGGAGTGCAGAGCGATGAATATCACTGAAGAATTGGGACAAATACAGCACATATTTTCAGATAAGACCGGTACACTGACTGAAAATAAAATGCTCTTTCGACGATGTGTTGTCAATGGCATAGATTACAATCATCCTGCTTCTGAGATGGAACGATTGAATACAAAACCCGGAGCACCAACACCACCTCTTATCGTTAACACCACATTATTAAACGATATGCTAGAGTTAATAAACTCGAGTCAATATCTCTCAGCAAATGCGCAGAGACTTCAAGAATTCCTTTTAGTTTTGGCAATATGTAATACAGTGATTGTGAGTGTTACACCACATCATGATTTAATGAATGCCAGTGGTATAATTGAGGTGCAAGGTGCGGGAAGCAGTACTTCAGGAATGTTAAAAAGTGAGTTAAAAGTTAAATGTCGCTTTGTTTTCCTATTGCCTACATGTTTGAGTTTATTGTATTTAGGTGTTAAAGAAAACCACATACCTCTACAAAACATAACAGAAACGGATTCATCTCCATCATCTGTACCTATAGCCAATAACAACATGGCACCCGCCATATCCGCCGATCGGTATACCCGCTTAGCCGAATCGCGATCCGTAACACCATCACCGCCTCCTAATTTAGTATATGCTTTGCCAACACAAACTCATGTACCATCTTTATCACCAATAAATAGTTCAGCAGAGACTACACCTACATCTGATTCACCACCAATGAAAATGAAGTCATTCTCAAATAGTATTTCACCAACAGGACGTGCAAAAGCTGTGATAAATTCAAAGATAACAACTCTTACGGCATTTCTAAATGTCAAAGCTCAAGCTAAGAGAATATCTAATAAGCTGAAGTAAGTTTAAAACTAAGTAGTAGTTCTTTAAATTAATCTAATCATTATATGTTCTTATATAAATTACAAATAAAATTTCTTTGCTCTTTGCCAGTCAAACTAAAAATCAAACTTCATTTAAAACGGTTAATGGAAGACCTTTGTATGAAGCCGAGAGTCCAGATGAGCTTGCGCTTGTGAGTGCTGCATATAGTTATGACTGCTGTTTGGTCAATCGTAGTCCAAATCATATATTAGTTAACATTCCTAACTCAGGAATGGCGGAGTATGAAGTTCTAAAGATCTTACCATTTGACTCCAGCCGCAAATGCATGTCAATTGTTGTACGGCGCACTGGTACGCAAGAAATTATACTATATACAAAAGGTGCCGATAGTTCTATTATGCCCGTATTAACACCATGCGGACGAAACACACCCGAAGGTAATTGAGTTTGAGTAAAATAATATATATTTTAGTAACTTTTTAAATTAAAACAGGTATAATGAGGGAGAAAACTCAACAACAATTGGATCGCTATGCGCGAGATGGTTTACGTATATTGGTAATGGCTAAACGTATACTAAATCCCGCTGAATATACAGAATGGTGGGCACGACATCAAGAAATTGAAATGTCACTAGAAAATAGAGAAAGACGAATTCGTGAATCTTTCGCCAAGTTAGAGTGTAATTTAACACTACTGGGGGCGACTGGAATTGAGGACAGGCTTCAGGATGGTGTACCGGAAACGATAGCTGCTCTGATTTCAGCTGGCATATCAGTGTGGGTGTTAACTGGCGATAAACCAGAAACAGCAATAAATATTGCTTATTCAGCAAAACTTTTCACTCAGCAAATGGAACTATTGCGGTAGGCAAATATTTTTTAATTATTTAGAATACAAAAGTCTCTTTGGAACTGCAAAAAGTGTATTTAATTAAAGACAAATATTTTTAAGAAAAGGTCAAGAATATTGTCTTTAATTAATTTAATGATTTATAAATGTGCTATCTACTGAAGCTGATCCCAGCTTTGTTCCGCCGTGACAAGCGAAATCTCATGGTTTCTAACACATACATATGTATATAAATATGAACGTAGAATTGCAGCTTTTTTATACGTTTAAGTAATTATTTATTATACCAGCTTAAAATTAAAATATTTAATCTTTATCTTTTATATGTATATATATATATATATATATATATTTATAGGTTAACGGCGCGTTCGCGTGATGCTGCAGAGAGTGCAATTAATTTTTATTTAGCTGAATTAGACAATAGCAAAGCAATATATGGCGCTAATCCTCGTCTGAAGCCACGAGCTCTAGTTGTTGACGGCAAAACGTTGACTTTTATCTTAGATCTACGGTAGGTTCTGCAAATATATAATTGTGATAATCAAAAAGTATGAGTATTTCTATGCAAATTAAATTAATTAAAAATTAATTTCGACATTAAATTAATGATTAAAAATAATCGTTCGATTTGAAAGCTTATTTTACAACATAATGATTATTTTTGTGGAGAAAAATGAAAAACTCTTTTGAAACAGTAAAAATCAAAAATTATAATAATATTTGATTTTAAAAGTATACAACATAACATATTGAATTATTATTATTTTTTTGAGCCATTAATACGAATCGAAATATTATTATTAATCTACATTTTAATAGAATTCGATCAAACATTATTGAAATCTTTTTACGATCACAACGTTTGGGCAGAAACATACCCATTAATATATTGAAAATTTTAATTCCATATTAAAAAAATTAAACTCAATTATATTTCTTATGCATTATTTGATTTTATCACATTATTGAAAAAAAATAAATATTATAAAATGATTTATTTTAACTAATTTAATAAATATTTTCTAGTTCCAAGCTTATTAGGCCGTTTCTAAGGTTGGCCAAAAACTGTGCATCAGTGCTATGCTGCCGCTCGACACCACTACAAAAAGCATATCTAGTAAAAGTGGTGAAGGAAGAGTTGCGTCTCTGTACTTTAGCTATTGGTGATGGTGCGAATGATGTCTCAATGATACAGGTACTTAACATATTCTTTAGTTTAGCCTTCAATTTACTAAAATTAGATATTTGTATTTATTTATATACAGATGGCAGATGTTGGTGTCGGCATTTCCGGTCAAGAGGGTATGCAAGCTGTTATGGCGGCTGATTTTACGTTATCCCGATTTCGTTACTTAGAGCCTTTATTGCTAACTCATGGATATTGGTGTTATGATCGCTTATCGCGCATGATACTTTATTTCTTTTACAAAAACGCTGTGAGTATTTTTCAAGGGTTTACACTATTTTATACTTGAGCACAACTCTCTGACAGTGTATTATAGTTTTGTAACTGCGATTTTGCTACGATGTTCCTTTATTTTTACATCATACAGACTGTCTAGGAAGGTTGCGCATGGTATTTAACGTACGGCATTGTATGAACTTTTTCTTACTTTCCAGACCTTTGTGTTCTTAATATTTTGGTATCAACTATACTGTGGCTTTTCGGGATCTGTCATGATGGATCAAATGTATCTGATGTTGTATAATTTAATATTCACATCATTGCCTCCCATTGCCATTGGTGTTTACGATAAACGCGTGCCTGAGGATTTTTTACTACAAAATTGTTATTTGTATAAACACGTAAGAATTGTGCAATTAAATTACAAGACTTCTTTATTGAAACTTTTTTTGTTTGTATTCATCTAGGGTCGGTTACGTCTTGCCTATAGACCACATGATTTTTGGATCGTTCTCTTAGATTCATTGTATCAAAGTTTAGTGATATTTTTTATGGCTTTGTGTGCCTATGCTGAGTCAGATATTGGTATTTGGGAATTCGGTGCAACAATAACGGCATGTTGTTTATATACGAATTTAGTTCATGGCGCACTCGAAATCAGATCATGGGTAAACAAATTTCGATAACTGTTAAAATTGTTACAACTTTTGAAATTAATACACTTATATATAATGTATTATTCTTTTTTTTCAGACCATATTACATGTGCTTTCTATTGTGCTAAGTCTTGGCTCGTTTTATGCTTTCTCTATTATTTATAATTCAACATGTGTAAATTGTTTTGGGTTACCTTCTACATATTGGGTGATATTTCGCTGTCTAGGCTCATTAGTTCATTGGCTTGTGATACTTATATCGACAGTTGTGGCTATTTTACCAAGGCAAGTTATTCCCAGCAATGATAACGTGTGTAGGCCTGCAAAAGCAAATTTAGCAAATAATATACATTTATAATTTTTAATATTAATCCTACACATTTTTCATTTCAGGCTGCTGTTCTTAACTGTTAAAAATTCATTATTTCCCGACGATAGTGCAAAAGTATTGATGCAAACAAAAATAAACCGCAGTAGAGGTGAGGATTTGTTAATTGCTTGGTCAAGGTCAGCATCAGCTTCATCAATATATAGGTAAAGAACACACAACACGTGCTATCCAACAATATAATCGTCGGCTATCACCTTTTATGAATATAATATACGAATTTTCGCCATTTGAGGACTTATTTATATGTATTCAACTATACATAATCATTTTAAATAACATTTCCAATGATTTGTTTAGCTAAGTTGACCAAATAATCACAATAATATCTGATAGTAGAGTATTAGATAAGTAGAAAAGGTATAAAACTATAAACTCAACAAGAGAGTATCAAAATGGTGTCCATCTTTTGGATGATGCGTAACCATCCATTATATTATATGCCTATATATAAGCGCTGACTGAATGTTGGTGTAAAATTCTTCTATTAGGCGTGGTGTTCAGCCTATTATTTCTACTTTTAACACTACTTCGAAAACGTCTCCAAATAATTCTCCCATATTTTTGTTCACCCCTTATTTTCATTAACGGCCAAAACTCACATTCATGACTTTTGAAATATGTTAATAGAGTTTTGGAAAAAGTTTGAAAATTACATTCAATCATATTGTAATTTATATTGGTTGCAATAGTTGTGTGTTTTTTATTTATTAAATTCATTTCATCTTATATTTTGTTCATGCTTTTATTTATTAGTAATAAATATATTTTCTCTTTGAGACGTAACTGGAACTCATACCCTAACACCTTTTATATGTTTATCATGCTAATGTTTGCATTACTCTTCTATTAACTTATTTCAATGATATTTTAATTATACTTTAATATATCTAAAATTAGTATCTCATCTAGAACTGCAGCTTTTCGTAATTGTTCGATAACCTGCTCTTCAAAGTACAGCTGAAAAATAAAACATTTTAAGTTATTTTTTTTCTGTTTTTCATTTACTTAGAAAGCTTCAATTCCTGTCAATATTTTATTTTGGATTTGTATACTTTAATTTTTCAACAATAATAATTCCTTTTAGATCCCACACTTGCAAAATCTATTCTTTTTTTTTAGCTCAGGTCACGATTGTGGGCTTCTAGTGTAATATGCATCCCAATCATTCTACCTTATTCATTTAAATGCTACCAATACCCTACCGAACAAAACCTAACCCCATCCAAGGTCTCGGTTTAAAATCTTTAAATATAAAAAGTTGAAAATGTCAATAAACAAGAGCTCCAATTTCTTAAGATCGCTATACTGTTTTTAGTTTTTGAGCATTGAGTAAATATTATGTTTCGTCACCGAATTGTTTAGGTCTTCCTAGAGTCATTTACTTCGGAAGAGGACATTATGTTTTATGCTTCTTTCTTGCATTTGACTGCAAGCAATGGAATTGTGACTTTGTGACCAATTTTTAAGAAAATTATATTGGAATCTTAGGTTGAATCGTCTTGCTGGTTTTTTTTTTAATTATGCAGAAAACATTTTAATCATTACGTTAATAAGATATTGCTCTAATAAGCTTCTAAAAAGAAAAAAATAAATAAAATGGCGACTTCCAATTAACCAGTCACGATGCTTTTTTTGACGGAATATTTGACCTGAAACCTCATAATAGTTTACTCTTCCGATCTGGTTGATTTCCAGAATTAAAATTTATTTGTTTATACGTACTTGAAATACCAAATTTTTCGTTCTGAGATGCTCTGATACAGTTCTCCTATTTCGATGATTTTCGGTGTCAATGTTTATTGTAGAATATACCAGACTTCTTGCTGTTAGATGCTTTTTTAACAGAGTTTCGATCCACAGGAGCTTCATGTTATATATAATTTTCCGATTTCGATCATTTTCAATATCAATTTGAGTTATTCTTTATATGCTTGTCACAAGTGTTTATGTACATGAAATGTATAAAAACTTAAGACCCTGCAGACGTCTTCCTGAACTAACTGTAGGTCTAACATTTGGCCGCGAATTCGTACGCCTGAAATAACAAAGAGTATCTAATAAGATTTTATATTTGTTTTTTAAATTATTTCCTTTTTTATAAAATATTAATTATTATGTTAAAATGTTTGCTTAGTTTTAAAATAGAGCAAATCTATTTTTAATCCAAGCATGAAGCAAATCGAGGCGTAAATTCATTGTTTTCATATCGACCATTAACTGAACTGAAATACGGAATTCGAATAGATCGAGCTCTGATCCACTTACCGGAAACGAAAGTCTTCCACATATTCATCTATGCAGAGAGCTTTTTATATTCTAAAGTTCAAGCATATCGAACCATAATTTTCTTTGAATAGATCGGTTCAAGGTCTACTTTTCGAGAATAAATGTCCTCCATATACTAACGAAGTCATAGAGATTGCGATTCGGACTATAAATACGATTTTTTTTTTAATAAATCCGTCCTGGGTCCACTAACGTGGAATGAAAGTATTCCACATAACCTTCGCAAAGAGCTACATACATACATACCTACATACATATTTTCCACCATATGTACGATTGTTCGAAAATATTCATCTCAGCCCACTTTCCAGAAGAAAAAATATACCTTATGTTAATATAGTCCAAAACCTACCTCTGTACAAACTTATATCTAAAACAAAGTAAGAATTTGGTTCGGTTTTAATCAAAGAGATGGCGTTATTGTCCATGGTACTAGTGTTACGTGTCGCACGTGTTTATACGCGCTAAAAGTTTATCTTTTACAGTAAACGATCGTGTAGCTCAAAAGTGGTTTGCTAGGTCCCGTTCCGGTAATTTCGATGTCAAAGATGCACCACGCGTCGGAAGGCCTGTCGTCGAAAATCGCGCTAAAATCATGGAAATAGTGAAAACAGACCGTCATGTGAGCACTTATTTAATTGCTGAGGAACTAAAGATAAACCAGAAAACCCTTTGGAACCATTTGCATAAACTTGGATTCAAAAAAAAAAAAGCTCTATGTTTGGGTGCCACACGAACTAACGCAAAAATCACGATGGACCGAATTTCTATCTGCGAATCGCTGCTTAATTGCAACAAAATCGACCCGTTTCTGAAACGGATTGTGACTGACGATGAAAAATTCGTCACTTACGACAACATCGAGCGCAAACGGTCGTAGCTTGACGGCATCACTCATCCAGAAGAGGCCATCTTTGATGAACAGAGGCCGAATTGTGTTACATCAGGACCACGTCAGGCCACATACATCTTTGGTGACGCGCCAGAAGCTCCAGGAGCTCGGATGGGAGGTTCTAATACACCCACCTTAAAGTCCGGACCTGGCACCAAGTGAAGATGGTAATCACTTGTCCATGGCAAACTCGCTTAATGGTGAGAAGTTGGCCTCAACAGAGGCCTCTGAAAATTGGCTCTCCCAGTTTTTGGCCAAAAGAGACGCAGCCTTCCACGAGAGGGGTATAATGAAGTGACATCTCGGCGCATATTTGGCTTAAATCGGACAAATGTACACAAAGTTATCATATTTTGGAAAATCAATAAAAAAAAAAACCGAACGAACTTTTTACTTGACCTATATGTATACATATACCCATTTTTCGAATAGATCGGCCGCAAGTCCACCTGCCGAAGAGAAAAGTGTTCCCCAAACCAAATTAGGCAGAACCTCTGAATCAAATTTCAATTTTAATCAATTTTTTCAAAGTGCGCGGTCTCAAGTCCACTTCTCTGAAAATCCTTTCTTATGGGTGCCTTTGTCATACACAGAACACACATCCTAGTTCCAGGTCCTTAATGTAATTTAAAAATATGTATATATACATGGTGAAATCACAATAATATAATTTTTTAACCACGCAAAAAAAAAAAAGATTTTTATCAGTCGAATTTCCGTGTTACTCGGAAATTAAAGCTCACATTAATGTAATTTAAGAAAACTTACTTAATTCTAAAATAAAATACACATGCTATACATGTTCAACGAAATTTTGAAAAAGTTCCAACGATATGTAGGCGCCTGATAGGCGTGAGCATTTGGCCTGTAGGTCCCTCCATTTGTTGGAAAAACATCAAGACGCAAAAACCACAAATTGGAGGAGGAACTCGGCCGAACATCGATCAAGCGGATACAAGATACCAATTATATTAAATTATATTTAAATATAAAGACCCGATCGTCGTGGGAAGATTTGGATTTTAGACGCCTCTTTCAACAGGCATGCCTTACCTTTTGCTTTACACCCTACTCTTCCGATATCGAAAAAAGTGAGATAATTATACTGAGGGTACCTAGTTATGATTTACCTGTAATCTAGAAGAAGTAGAATCTTTTATTTATTTATTTATATATTAACTACAAAGCATTTTATTTATTTGTTTTTATTTTCAGAATCGCCGATTATGGGTCTAAGAATCAGATTATAACAACAATATCCTGATAACCATTTGGAATATGACAAATTGATGATATTAATCACCGAATGAAAATGATATTATGAATATGCGAGTGTAGTTATTATGTAGTGATTTGTTTGATTTGGTGGTGTGTGTGTTTTGCGCTTATATGTATGTAAACGTATGTGTGACTGTGTGTAAATTTAAGGGCCATTTAATGTTACAGCCCCACTAAGATAATAGCAATGCAAAGTTATAATTAGTATGTAAGCACTTAAAATTCTCCTTAATATATTTGTATTATTTCTCATTAAGTTGTTTAGGAAAAGTTTGTATTATATATGTATATTTTATTGTTAATAAATACATATATTTTATCATTTGTATAAAAATTATAAATTATTAAAATACTTAATTAAATCGTCATAATTGAATGCTTACAACTACTTCAATCGAATATTGCCACGTTATTTTCATTCACATATCTATTATTTTATGTTAAAAGCTGTTCTTAATTTATATCATGTAATACAATTTTATGCTTATTGTTTAGTTAGCGTTACATTCCAAAAGCTTCCTAAAAAAAAAAAAAAGATGACCAGCGGATAATCATAAAATTTTCAATTAAAACTGATTTAATCTGTGGCAAGTTTATCACTGGAGTTTCCTATGGACCTATACTATCCTGTCAATAGAAGTTATTCCTCATTTTAATATATGTATAAAATATGTATTTTAATATTTTAAACGTACTTACACATACAATGTATTTCTAGCCGAATTTTACAAAGAAACAAACAAAAAAATAACAAAATATGTCCTTTAGAATAGTATTAATCGTGTTTCCTTTCACTACTATTATGCTCGACTGTACTATGTACACAGGATACATTTGCTTTGTTTAATTATGGGTTGTATGTGAAGACAAAAAAAAAAAAAAAGCAATAATAATAATAGAGATATGGATGTAGGCATATATAAATCAGACGATACAATTGGACGGTACCACGTCTGTCTGTCCGTCCGTGTGCACAGATAACTCTATAAAGGCTGTGATGTTTTTTGAATTCTGGTTCATACGTGTGAGCGTTTTTGTGGTCGCGGAATGAGTATTCCGAAAATTCCCAGTGACAGTCCCTGACCAGTATCAACTGTGTTGCGAGCTATTGGATTTTAGTCGCCTCTTACGACAGGCATGCCTTACCGCAGGTAAATTCATGAAAACCTAACTTACAGGAGATTGTACTGTATCAGTGACTCATAATTAGTATAAATGCGAGGTTTCATTATTATTAAACCATTAGCCTTGAAGCTTTCGTCAACCAAAGGACAAAAACTAGACTGAAATAGTGAAAAAAGAAAAATCAGTTCATTCAATATTGGCTTTGGAAAACTCTTCGTAACGGCTTGTTGTAACTCGGCAGGAGTATTATTTACCGATAACTGCAGAATACTACGCTTCAATAATAGAGCGATTAAAAGAAACCATTAATGTGCAAAACTCTGATTTCTCCAGATTAGATGATGAAGAAGCGAAGCGAATGGGTCTGGTAGTGAACGAGGGCAAAACGAAATATCTCCTGCCATCAAGCCAAGAGTCATCACATTCGCGACTTACTGTTGATAGTCCTAACTTCGAGGTCGTAAATAATTTCGTCTACCTAGGGTAAAGCATTAACACCAAGAATATTGTTAGCGTTGAAACCCAACGCACAATCACTCTTACCAACAAGTGCTACTTTCCTTTCTCGGCGGACGAAAACCAAACTCTACAAGTCGCTCATATACCCATTCAACTATAAGGCGCAGAATCGTAAACAATGTCAACATTTAATGAGTGACGAGTATTCGGGAGAAAAGTCATGAGTGATGCCCGACACACGATATAGACAGGGTGCCGGAGTGGTCACCAGTTTACTGTATCAAACACAGCAGAAATATTCCGACATACCGGCTTTGGACTCGATTTCTGCCCGTAGTATTTGACTCAACCATCATAAAAGCTTTACTATTAGGCTTAGGATAATCACCGGTAATAAATTCTCAGCAAAGTTAATACAGTTTCTTATATATTATATTATTTTAAGTTTCAAAATAAAAGCATTTGAGCATATGGAGGTTAACTCCTCTGATTTTCTTCAACTGTGATACTAAATAAATATTACTTTATTAGATTACGTGGGTGTTAAAAAATTTCGAACATACAAACATATATTTAAAATTACATTTTCCATATTTGTATAGATATATATATTTAAAAATAGTTATAAACTGCGAAAGCTATTTTTAGCTACCATCATTTTTACATGTTCCAAAACTTTTATTTGTTAGAAAATCAAACTCAGTATGGCGTAACAGAATTTTACCTATATCCTGTACGGTCAAATTTAATATGTCTGCATCAGAAGAACTATGTTTACAGGCTATTGCGCTTCTTACTAATTTCTCGATAAATACATTTAAACATTGCGACATTATTGCTTGTGTAAGTGGAAATACCACATCAGGTACCACTTGTTCGGGTTGTAGTTGTATGTTGTAATCTCGACAAATATCACTAACGAGTAGAGAAGTATTTTCTAAATGTGCCGGAATCGGTAGATACTGCTGTGTGCTTTCTCTCTGGTAGTTCGGTTGATTTGAGTGAGGATTTTTAATATCTATCATTCTGCAAGTCTCAGGTACTGGTACACTGACAATATCAATTAGTTCATCAGAGGATTCTTCAACAGATTCCTTACTAACCACTTTTTGCAATGCTCCATCCAACCAAGTAGTAATACGATATATTGGCGTTACTGATTCATATTGGAAGAATGGCTTCTCAGATTCTATTTCAGTTTTGACATGTTGTGAAAACACATGTTCCTGCTGAAGATTTTTTATCTGAAGCTTGGGATGCGAGATTAAACGCACATTTGATGAAGACTCTGCTTCAGAAGGTGTGTTTAACACTTCTGTATGTGCACAGCCAGACATTAAATCGAACGATTTAATTTTCGGTGAAAATGCATGATATCGCGCATAAATTAATACCTCACGCGTGCTCCAAAAGCGCTCTTTGTTATTCATATTTAATTCTATTAAATATTTATGGTTACGAATAAAACGCGTTACATATTTTGCTCTCAACCATTCGCAGGCACGTTGTTTTAAAACGGTTAGTGCATTAAATTCCGTGTAACTATTGTTCACAAAGGAGAAAGCCGCAGCTAAAGAGTTTTTGGGTGCGATCAATGGTAAATGTCGCAGTATGTAATCAACAGCAGAGCGCATAGTATGAAATTTTTTTTCCAAAAAGTCTTTTTCAAATTGAATACGTTGTTGTTGCAGTAATTCAAAAGTACTGCTTGCTTTGGCCCGCGTTTGACGTATACCCAAATGGACTTCCGGAAAGTGATCCAGCGCGTTGCTTATTCCCGAAGTCTTTGCTGGATTGTATGAAAAATGAGCATCTTTACCAGCATTAGTAAGGGTTGAAGTATAGTCATGATCCGATATCAGAGTTGATTGTACTTTTTGGACTTGCGTCTGATGTGGGTACTTTCTATGCAATATGGTTTGCGGTTTTAAGAGCGAAACTTGTTTTTTCTGCTCCTGCTTTAATTTCATTTGCAATGGATCAATTATGAACAATTTGCCTTCTTTTTGGAATACCATTTGTTTCGGCAGACTTAAGGGGGTGCTTGTATTTTTTGAATTTACTGTGTTACTGGTAGATTGCGTGTTACCATTCGGTAATCGTGGCAAATTATTCGTAGCGTCAATGGCTTTGGAAGTAATTCGTTTTAATGCAACGCTTTGTGTTTCCGTTACAACCGCTCGAACACTTGTCGCTGCTTCTGGAGTTGCTTTCTGGTCTCCTGTAGAAATTTATAAATTATCAGTAATCAAAATTTTCGTGAATAAAACTTAACTATTACATATTTCAATACTACCTGACTTTATTGATCGTACTCACCAGGTTTCGATTTCTCGAATGCAACATCGCCTACTTGTGGTTTGCCCGTTGTGGCTACAAATACCTGCATTAATTTAATTTTACCCTCCGCATCTACCAGCTTGACAAGTTTTTTTTGTAGTACAGTTTTTCCATCCGAGCTTTTGATTGGTAAATTTGATACGGGGGAATTAGCAAGCGGTGTAATATTATTCGTACTTTTAATTTTTAATGGCATAAATGTGCCTACTCTACTTAGTGGCATAATATTTTTGTTGTTTTTAAAGCTGTTTGTTACATTTTGAGAATTGGCTATACTCGAAGTGGTTAACTTCATTATCATTGGTGTTGTGAGCTGCATTGATCTACTAGCATTTGGAGTGTTATTCAAATCTTTGCTTTGTTGTACATTCGCTTGTGTCAATCCTCCTTTAGATTCACTTTTATGTAAAGGAATTGTTACTTCATTTTTATTATTATTTGGTAAGGGCAATGCTGAAGTGATTGTTTTATTTTCACTACTAAACGCTGTTGTATTCTTTGTTTGAAAGGCACTATTACATTTGTATGGTATTTCAGTTGTTACTTTCGAGGTTTCAGTTTTTAAGGAATTTTCAATGTGTTGAGGGATTTTGTAGCTTATTTCATTGATGTTAGTAGATATATTTTCTACAGGTTCGCTTTTAACTACAGTTGACTGCATATTTCTTAGATCCGTTGAATCGGCTTTGTCCAATAATCCAAATAAGCAATCGTCTGCTTCTACTTTGTTTTGTATGGAAAATGTCACATGTGGTTTCGCGTTATTTGCATGCATATCATCATTTTCACTGGGTTTTTTATTTGATTCATTTGATGCCGATTCTTCTTTTCCAGGCACAGTTTCCTTGGAAACAAGCAACTCCAGATTTTGGTTTTTAGAATAATTAGTACGAATCCAAATTTCCATTGTTGTCTCTGCACCCAGTGTGTGCATACCACTTAGTGTGCGATCTAACACCAAATTATGTATGAGTTGTACCGGTTTCTGCTGCAGATGATCATGAAAGAAAAGCTGAATTCTCATTGGAAACTCGCCCCATCCCCTTCGAGCTATTTGGAAAGGTGGTGCTTTAACGTCTACAATGTCATTTGGCCGATAAGAAGGATGTAGATGGAATCGAACTTTTTTGATAAAGTCATCGAGAGGAACCTCTGGATTTTTAGGTTGCACATAAACTAGCCACTTATGGGTTAACTCATTTAATCCCATTTTATTTTTGCTCTGCAAATTATCACCTTCTCCACCAATAAAAGTTGAAGTGTTTCCTATAATAATAACTTGTCTTGTTTTATTATTTAGCCGCGTTGCATTCAAAGCACTTCTAGACCTGGAAGGCAATGAGTTATTTACATAATTAGAAAACTTTTCATCAATATGCTCGCTAGGTTTGTGGCAAACTTGACTTTTCGTCTGTTGGAGTGCAGCAATTGCTCCTGCTAATTGTTCATTCTTTTCCTTAGAATGATCTATGACTAGACCTTTATCTTTTATTATTTGCTGTAGTTGTCTTTCTTGTCGTCGCTGTGTATCAGATACTGTCCGCATTGTGGTAAGGGCGTTTTGGGCCGCAGCGCGCTCCGGCAGAGGTCGATTTGCAATTTCTAAAATTTTTGCAGACTTTTTTCCAAGTAATTTCTTAAGAGAGGGATGCAGCTCGAATTGAGGTCCATGTAACTCTTTCTCAAATAAGGTACCCTTTCCACGAATCGCTGATATATTACTCATGGATACGTTTAATTCTTGTTTCTGATAATATTCAGATATAATTGCCAATCGTAAGCGGTCTAGTAAAGCGCGTCCTTGATCCAACCGCCTTTCAACTTCAGATAGTTGTTCTTTTTTGAAGGTAATTTCATTTTTAAACTCCTGCGAAATTATATCAAAAATTGTGTGACTCTTGGAGTTTGTATATTCACTTCTTTCCATTTTAATATCATTGCAGCGCAGCTTTTTAGTTGGACTGGTTTGTGTACGGACATAATCTGGATCATGATACTCATTGCATTTCCGCTTTTGAGGCGAAACTGTTAAAGGCATCATCTTTTCAAAATCAAGGCTAAAATAAAACACTTTTATTATTAACAACTGTTGATATATTTTTAATTAACCGAATATAAATGTTTTCTACTCATTTCTGTTGGTGAAAACAACAAACCCGCGTCAGCTGCCACATTTGTATGTTAAGTCAAAACACAATTTTGAGAGTAGTGAAAAATGAAACATAAAGCTTACATCACATAGAGCGCTCGCGTCAGCTTCAGCGTTGACATTGACAAAGCGAATGTAATTTTGATTTCAATTTCATTATTGTGTGATTGCAGTATCCCAGCATTAATTGAGCTTTGACAACCGAAACCGAAAATCAAATATTAAACTCAAGTGATTATTGAATCGAAATATTGCTTGCAATACAAATATGAAGAAATTTCAAGATTATTATTACATATAAAATAATTACAAAAACTTATAGTAGTTTCCTGGTGCAATAATAACTGTAAAATATCAATCGGAAAATATTTCTTAATTATTATATTTAGTGAGCGTTATGGTTAATGCTATAATAATAATGTCAATATTTATAGCTAAGATTGAGCTCGACCTTCTCTCGTTGAATAGTGCCCTTTCTAAATTTAATGGTACAAAAAAGTTTCGATTAATTTACAAATCATATTTATTTAAATATTTTCTATAGCTTGGAGCTTGTAACAACTTCTACGGAAGTAGCACTTTAAAAACTCGGCCCAAAAAATAATGTATCACAATTCCAGCTAACATATCTTCTTAATGTGGAGTTTAATACTTTACACTGGCAAGTTTTTTAAATTCCCTGCAACCTTTTCGAAATTCGGACGGAGCATTTTCCGTTTCGGCACCGAATCCCGAAATTTTTGATGCCAAACTTCTTTTCGGTTTTTCTTCCATTTTTAGTGTTTTTTTGGTAAAACTTGAAATGGAGCTTGAAGGTGAAATATTATTACGAAGGACTTTTGGTTGTTGAGATACGAAATCGAACAGATGATCTTAGTTAAATCAGAAGTAGATGTTAAGTATTCCTTCTTTGCAGACTGCGTTATCTTTTATTTTCACAAATGCCGCTTGTTGTACCTTCGTTGCGAAAATGTTCAAAACTTTATTAATAAAAAAAAGCAGTTTTTGAACGACGCTTCAAATTTTTTTCCATATATATTCATTTTCTGTTACATCACGGTTCCATTATTTTCAAATTGGTGAATACTAAAGGAATGTACATAATTATCTCTACAACCGATAAATATTTGATTGTTCAGGTTGCAAGGTGTAGCAAAAATTTCCGCATTCAATTCATGTTTAGCAGTTATTTCCCCGTTTTCAACGTATAACAGTGCTAATAAGCCCTTTGTAGAACAACACAACAAATACTTTGAGTTCTGTAAAGTTATTGTTATAGGCGATGCAAAAATGTTGCTATCAAGCTGTGTCTTCCAAACCAGTTCCAGTTTGGATGACTGATTTCCTTTATCGACTGTATTATAATTCTTCAAACAGTAAACATGTTTGTCGTAGCAGCCAAAGAAAACCAAATTTTGCTCTGAATTATTCTTTATGTCCGGCATTGTTGTTAAACCACAAAATATTGACGCTCCCGCGCAGAACGTGTTTATCTAGAATGAAATGGTATATTTGTATACTTATATATTGGTATATAGGTTATATATTTCAACATTTCAACAGCGGGTAGAGAAATATCTTCAATCACAAATTTGATATTTTTAAATGTTACAATGTTAAATTTTTTTTTGCGCGTTGCGTGACATTTCCAATCCTGCCAAGACAGCGAAAAATGCCAATGCCAATGACACAATTATTTTTTTATTAAAAAGATTTTTACCTTTACATTACATTAGTAAATATTGGGTAATCGCGGAAAAATAGGAAATAGGAAACGCACGTAAAAAGATTAGAGATGACCAACTTTTGGAGAGAAATTTCGTAGCTTTGTATGTATTCATCTAAGACGTTATTATAGTAAATCTGTCACGCAACGCGGCACAGAAGTCTTATCTGGCATATGCTTAACAGCAGCTCACTAAACAGAGTTGCAGTCTGCCTTGGTTTAAACTCACTCAATGAAATTTTGAACATAAAAAATTTGTTTAAATTTTTTCTTATATTTATTTTTTAGATTTATGTGGTATTTAAGAGTTTTAATGTTTACTCTGAATATAAGTCGTAAATAAAAATAACAACAAATACAAACCAATTCGCCGTTTCTTGCATTGCAGATGTGAATTTTTCCAGCAACTTCAGCTAAAATAACGGTATCATTTTTGATAACAACTGGTGTTGAAAATATAGCCGACTCACACTTTCTCAGCCACAAATATTTGCCGGAGTCTTGAAGAATGCAGCAGTAACTACCGTCTAGAGTGCAAACAATCAGTGCAGCGTTGTTTATAGCTACAGGATTGGCGTAGATACCTTTTGTTCCAATTTTCTTGCGCCAAATATAGTTTTGAGTCTTCAAAAAAATCCAAGAATACAAAACTCAAAAACAAGATACAAGCGATAAATGATAGTTAAAAATTCTTACCTTTGAAGAAATGCAGACAACGTTGAACTCCTCACTGTAGGTGCATATTACAATTCCAGATGTGCAGTTTAATGGCTTAGCTTTGATTAATCCATCTAAATTTTTGCTCCAATAAATAAATCCATTTATGAAGTTAAATGCGTATAAATGTTGATTATAGCATCCGACGACTGCCAAATATGGATAATGAGCATTTGTAATTACCTCCACTTTGCATTCGATTCGATCTGGGAGCTCTAACAGAGCAATGAGAGCACCTTTTTCGCTATCAATTGTGGCTAAATTATGTGAATGTGAACCAACACAAACCCATTTGTTTCCAATAGTAATAGGAGTGGAATCGACGCATTTATTAAGACTAGTGCGCCAAAGAAACTTAAAAAAGTTTTTCTTATGACTCTTGGGCTCTTCGCACGATGCTCTGGTCATAAATTCATATTTTGATAACGAACGCGTTGCAAGAAAGTTTCGAATGCATGCTAAAGATTTGTGCGGGCTGAGCAACATTTGTAATAGTTCATTTTTATCACATGCATTATCTAAACTCAAGCCAATCTCGGTAACCAAAGTTATGGCTTGAAAAGATGTGCCACCAACAGCAATAAATGACATAGTTGATTCCGAATTCTTTTTCATTGTATTAGATGTGTTAAACAAGTCAATTCCCAAAGTTTTTGTAACAAAGTCGGTAAATATTTCTTCAGGATCTGTGGGCTTCTTTTCGCACATTTTTGAAAGTAAGCAACGAAAATCTAATTTCCCATGCGAATTTAAGGGAAATACTGAAATAAGTTCTATATTATCCGGTCGTTCCACCTCAGAGAGATTTTCCATTAAACACCTTCGGATATGTGCCCTCGAATAAGTAATATCCATGTTAATTTGGACAAAACAAAATAATTTTTGCTGCTCTTCTTGCCAAAGGCATTTAACATTTTTACAATCATCTCCTAATATGAATTGTATCCTCTTCTGCAGAGTTTCTAAAACGTTTCAAAGCGAAAATATATACATATAGTAATTATTTTTATATTTTTAACTTTTTATTCGTAATGAGCTTAGTTCCGATAGAATCGAACACTTGATTGCAGACTGTTTGTGATGTATGACAATAATGGGATCAAACTTTTTAAGAAACTTGTTTCCTTTTAGAACCAATTTATATATCCAAAACGGGTAAGTTCCTAACAACCTTTAGTTTTTAAATGAGTTAAAGCTTTTTTTGCATATACTCAACTAAACAGGTAGTTATAAAACATTTCTTAATTCATTACTAAATTGCATAAGATCGCTTTTAAGCATAAGATTTTAACCTAACTCGTTTTTAGGGGTTAATTATGGATTTAATTAAAAAAATTAATCAAGATACTTACCGAGACTTAAGCGGACTCCCATTCGTTTGACTATGCTTCCTATTCTACCAGAAAAGAAAATGTCCCCTTTTTCATCACAGCTGACTAAATCACCGGTAGTACGGTAGCATATCTTGTTACCATCGTCGCGTACCTGACCATCTATAGAGGGAATATGACACCTTCGAATTGCACTTCCGACTATTAATTCACCTTCGCATACTCCAGACAACTCCATACCATATTTATCGGTTATACGCAATAAAGTGTGATTGTCGAGTACTCTACCAAGCGGAGCTTTATCCCAGTTTTCATTAAAATTACATTCGTGTATTGTACACCAACATGACAATTCAGTTATTCCATAAATATTGAATATACGTTTTCTTAAAGACAGAGTTGGTAGCCAATTATTCCATTCTCTATGTAAGGGAAAATCTTCCCCTCCTAACATAAGACACCGCAAGGTACTGCTTTCGTGCAATATGACATCTTTTATAATAGAATCGCCAAATAACCTCAAAAAAGAAGGTGTACACTGCAGTATTGTTGTGCCTTTTTTGTGGGACTGAGACTGAGATTTTGGCCACAAGATATACGCCAATTTATTTGGATTCAAACGGAGGTCCAAGGAAGATATTAATAAAGACGCCCCAGTGTTTAGAGCTAAGAAAAAATCTACAACAAAGGGATCGAAAGTAGGAGGAGCACACATATATATTAAATCCTCTGCAGTTATTTTCAACTGGGCACTATAAAATTACTATATTATTGAAGTGAAAATTTCAAGAAATATGAATTTACCTTAAAGCATCGATATTTGGTTTTATACAAGTATAAGGAACTTGAACAACCTTCGGAGGTCCAGTGCTACCGGATGTTGAAATACTATAGCAAAGATTTTGGACGCCTTCATAAATCTCATCTAACATTTCTAGATTTACATGTAAGACCAAGTGGCTCTCAAATGCTTTCAAGCATCCTAATAGTTTGCAACTTTTGCTAATATCAATTGTTTTATCCGATATTACATATTTAACGCCGTGTGCATTTAAAAAATCATCGGAGTCAAAATTCGCGCTTTTATAATCGCAGGGGACGAAATAACAATTGCTATTCAATATGCTGCAAAAATAAAATTATTGCAAAACTTCAAAAAACTTAAGTCTTATTTAATCTTACCTAAGAAGCACAACAATACCGGAAGGTGTAATACTCTTTAGTAACAAAGCAATACCAGTATTTGGAGAAATATTGTATTCTCCAATTTGTTGTAAAACTTTGTTTACTTCGTCCAAAACAGAATCATATGTGTATATTATTTCCTCATGCTCTGTTCTATAAGCAATAAAGACATTTCCTCGAAACTTTTGCAATAACGAGCATTCAAAGATCTTTTCCATATCTCGTTCCTTTTTTGTTTATTTAATTGAAGAGAAGAATACTATTGGTATTCCGGATTCTGTACATAAAGATTGATATTTGACACAATTGTAATTTAAATCAAATTTAAATTATAGAAAACTTTTAAAGTAGTGATAGCGATGGAAATAAACATTGTAGCATAACGATAAGTTTCTGAGCTCTGAATAATACCGTCAATTCGATACATTTCCTGTAAATGCCAAAAGGCTGGATAAAGGAGTCTTAAAGCTAAGACCCCTGGGCATTGAGCACTGAATATAATGAAATTCATAGTCTTTCTTTTTGTTTCCAAATCTATTTCAACCAAAAAATTTTCATTCAGATTCTTACTATTTCTATTTTGCTGCTCCGTAAGATTTAAGGCTGATTCACATAAAAGTTTCGTCACGCCTTGCCTTAGAATTACGTTCAAAGATTTTAATATTCATTCGTTTTCTTTAATTATCCGCAAATAACAAAGAATTGAAATTTTTTACTAACCGTAACCGATTTTTGGCTCATTGATAGAAAAATAATTGGAGGTGTGCCCGTATTAATACTCTTTGTTATTTCAGATATAAAAAATCGATACAACATGTTAAAAGTATTTGTTTTGAAATCTAAAATGATCGATGTAAAGCAGTCACAATGTACTTGTTTAGCACGTTTACATGGCTCAATTAAGAAATTTGAGATAAGAATTTCACAAATATGGGAGTAACAGGTCTATGGAAACTTGTGGAGCCATGTGGAAGTCCGGTGCCCATAGAGACTTTGGAAGGCAAGATTCTAGCAGTGGGTTAGTAAATATTTTGATTATTTTTAACAAATCCGTTATTTATTGTAATTATTTCTTTTTTTGAAAACGCAGATATTTCCATTTGGCTTCATCAAGTTGTAAAAGGATTCCAAGATAACAAAGGGTCTGTGCTACCTTATGCTCATTTATTGGGTCTTTTTCACCGTCTATGCAAACTACTTTATTATCGGATTCGACCAGTTTTTGTATTTGATGGATGTGTACCAGATTTAAAACGAGATACAATAGTGAGATTATAGAATTAAAAATAATGATATAAATACCAATAATATCCTCTAATTTAAGGCTCGAAGACATCAACAACGGCATAAAATTAACAATGAAGTTAACCGCATACAAGCTCTCTTACTTCAATCGCTTGCAAAAGAAGAAGTGGTACAAAGAGCACTTGGTGGTAGTACTCAACTTTTAATGAAATCTCCCAGTAAAAGTCAAAGTACTAATAATCAAAATGAAAATACAAAAGATGACATGTTCAAATTACCAGATCTCCCTGCTATAACCGTTAAGGGAGATGATCAGGAGCGCACAGATACTAGTACAGATACTTTTTCTGAAACTTCGGAAGGGGACAGTTCGTTTGATGATTCCAATACTTGGCGTGAATACAATGCAAATATACAAGCAATTGATGTTCGAAGTGAACACTTCAAAAGTTTGCCACCTGAGATCCGGCATGAAATATTGGTAGATATAAAAGATACACGAAAACAATCTTCTTGGGGCCGTCTACATGAATTGCCTTCATGCAGTTATGACTTCAGCTCTTTTCAAATGAAACGCTTACTTAAGCGGCGTGCGGTGCAGGAAAGTCTCGAGGAAACTGAAAAAGAAATGGGCGAACAAGCATTAACCTATACAGACTTGCAAAATTTTTTTGCAGAAGAGGGAATTTTAGATCCACAAAATCTTAATCAAGGTTTGGATAGCTTATTTCCTTAAGCTAAAAAAATTTTATATTTTGCAAATTTATAGGTGCTCTACCACTATGCTCCGATGAAGCTGTTCGATTTACATTAGTCCGCGAGTTACGGAAAAACTCGAATAAAGATGGTAAATGCAAAATAGAGCCAATTTCAAAAGAAAAGAAGCTCAATGTTGACGAATTATGTACGACGGACAATAATTCAAGCAAAGATGATACTGATAGGAAAATTACAGAACATGATATTGATTTGGAAGTCGCAATTGCCAACTCTCTCGAAAATGAAAGTCAAATTGTTTATAATAAAAGTGACTATGAATATAAATCAAATCATAATATCAAATTGAATCCTCTGCAACGCAAGCAGTTAAAAAGTACCACCATCGGTCCAGCTCGTACTTATATGATTGAATATGGTGGTATGAATGACGATGAAGTTGAAGGAATAATGGACAAGACAGAAATAGCGTATGATACGGAGGATGAAGATGTGAATATTGCTAAAGCAATTGCTGAATCCCTAAAAGCTATGTAAGTATCTTCTTATACATGCAGTAATTTTGTAAATTTCTTAATGAAAATGTTGGAAATTCCGCAACGATTAAAATAATATTATTCAAAAGGTTTGTAGGTCAACAACCATCGATTCCTAGTTAATAAACATATTTAGAAGTCGCCTAAAAGAACAACACAATAATATATTCGAAATTTTTCTTATTATGGGCAGATTATCAATTTTATATTCTTCAGTCTAAGGTTTTTATTTACTTTATAACGCCTTTTTTATACGAATTGTAGAAACACAGAGCGAGAGGTTGCAAAATCTAGCGAGACAACTCAAGATATATGTCTACAAGTAAGTGACAGCTCAGAAACCGATTCTGATCTCGAGGAAGTTGTTGAAGAGGTCGCCGTTCAATTAGATACCAAAGAAGATATATGTCTACGAGTAAGTGATAACTCTGAAACAGATTCTGATCTTGAGGAAGTTGTAGAAAATGCTGCCGATCCAAAAGTTAATAAACAATCATCTAAAAATACTTTAGAAGTTGTTATAAAAACCCAAGATCTCATACTACCAGAAGAAGATATATTTTCGGATATTTTTCAAACTTCGAATCAAAGTTCTTCGCAATTGAAGCAGCAAGACAGAATTCAAAATATGGAAGATAAGTCAAAAAATACGGTAAAAGTGGAAAACGTAGATGAGAAAACAAATAAAAACTCTTATGTTTTAAATGATATTAAAAAACAAGATCCACAAAAGAATGATGATAATTATGAAGGCAACACAGAAATTTCCTCTATATTAAATGAACTTAAAAGACAAGCGAATGAAGTGGAAAAAATAAATTTGGATGTTATTGATATTGAAAGTCCAAATAATTGTGAGCCTATTATTGAAAGCAATATAAAGAATGATGGAGTTGAAAAATTAAATTTGAATGTTATTAATACCGAAGAAACGAGTAATATTGTACTTAATAATGAAAATAACATAGAAATCTCTTCTATATTACACGACCTCAAAAGGCAAGCGAATGAAGTGGAAAAAATAAGCTTGGATATTATTAATATTGATAGTCCAGATAATAGTGAACCTATTATTGAAAGTAGCAAAGAAATCTCATCCATATTACATGACCTCAAAAACCAAGCGAATGAAGTGGAAAACATAAATTTGGATAACATTGATATTAATAAAAGAGACGGTGAATTAACACAAAACACTGAGGTCATTGAAATATATGATAGTGATGATCAGAGGCTAATCTTGGAAACGACTCCAAGTAAATCACCGAAGCAGGAAACACCTTCAAAAACTAAAACTATTAATGAATATTTCGAAACTAAGTATATGGTAAAGCGAACTCCAGAAAGTAATATGGATAAGAGTGCGGAGAACCGATCACCTCATGTAAAATCACCATTTTTTGTAAAGAAATCGCCAGCTTCGAACCATAAAAGATCCGCTGAAAAGAATAAAGAATCATCAGCACTTGGCAGAAAACTTTCTAAAGCGTCTAAAACACTCTTCGAAAATGAACCTACATCGGCCGAAAATGCATTGGGGTCGAAGCGACAAGATACTAGAGCAATTACTGAGGTATATTTGCCAACGTAAAATTGTTAATTTTGGTTAATGATTGTAATTTTGCAGGGCTTGCTGAAAGATGCAGCTGGTGCTCTCAAAGAACAAAAATCAACGGAAGAATTAAAAGAATTAGCTCAGGATTTAGCCAAAGAGCGAAGTAACTTGGAGAATGAGCGTAATCGCCAAGATCGCATGGGGACAGCAATCAACAAAAATATGCATACGGAATGTCAGGAGCTTCTAAGACTGTTTGGCATACCTTATGTTATAGCGCCTATGGAGGCTGAGGCACAGTGTGCTTTCCTTGAATCTGTGAATTTGACACATGGCACTATCACCGATGACAGTGACATTTGGCTATTTGGAGGCAGAACTGTGTACAAAAATTTTTTCGAACAAAATAAACATGTTTTGAAGTTCGATGCTGATAAAATTAGTCAATCTTTTAACTGTGATCGTCAGAAATTGATACAGTTAGCTTGTTTGGTAGGAAGCGATTATACAACAGGTAAATTATGCCTAAATCTAAAACTCTGAAAAGTTGAAAGATAATTTGACTTGAGCACAAATTACAGGTATACACGGTATAGGTACAGTTACGGCTTTGGAAATTTTGGCTACATTCTCAGCACCAGCAAAGAAGCTTAACGATTTTGCAGGTAACAACACTAGCGCAACACCTGCTACTATTCTGTCAGTACTTTACCGTTTTCGCGACTGGTTAAAGAGAAATAAAGATTCCACACAACCGGTTGGTAGTTCTACACTCCTCAATTTGAGAAAAAAATTGAAAAACATAGAATTATTTGACGGTTTCCCAAATCCTGCGGTAAAGTTGAATTTTGAATTTAATTTGAAATATTTATAAATAATTTATTCAAAAATTACAGGTCATTGAAGCATATTTAAGTCCGACAGTTGATGAAAGTAAAGCTTCATTTAGCTGGGGATACCCTGATGTGGACTCAATACATAACTTCACTAAAAAAGTATTTGGTTGGACAACAAATAAGACTGATGATTTGCTTAAGCCTGTGCTAAAAAGATTGAATGACAAGCAAACGCAGTCCAGCATACGTAATTATTTTACAGTAAAAAGTGTTACAAACTCGTTAAAATTAAAGGTGAGCAAACGAGTTCAGAAAGCCATAGCCACCATGGCTGGGGAATTAAGCGAGAGTGAAGTTATAACCAAAGCGAACAAGCAAACAAAACAAAAGGGTCGTAGAAAAAAACAAAATGAAAGTAATGAAACTGAGAAACAGGCAGAAGTACAAATAATAGATACATGCATGTTAGAGGGTCCAAGCACAAGTGTTGCCGCTTTAGAGCATGAAAATAAAAAGCGTAAGCCGAGAATACCAGAAACTAAGCAAGTTATTCCGCAACGAGAACATGATAAAGAAATTATGCGTCTGAATAAAAAGAAAGCAATAGCGTTAATAAGAAAATCTACGACAACAACGACCAGGAAAGGCACAAAGAAAAGTCGTACAGATTAACTGGAAAATAAAGCATTACAGTTTACATTACATTGTACTTATATATGATACTGCTTAAAAAACAATTAACGACAAATTAAAATTAAAAAAAAAAAAAAAATGAAATGGGTGAACAGTAAGAAAGGCAAAGTCCATGTGTAATGTAACATTTGATTATTCATGCTCTTATGCATGTTGTAATACTATCAGTCGGAAGTCCAGTCATTCTTGTAATGGAGTATGTGCACTAATTACTTTTATCGCCAATGTTGAGCCACAGAAAACGGAATATCTTAGGCACTGTTTACCAAACACGAGTATTTTCTGCGGGACAGGCTTCAGTAACAATAGATCAAAAAAGCTGTATTCAGTTTTGTTTGGGCTTTGGTCGGGATGGTCGTTTACGATGTTCAACATCTCCTGAGCGATACAATTTAGGAACAATCTTCGCTGTCGTAAGTTTCATGCCTAAAACATCCGTAAAAATTGCTTGACATGAGCCGAACAATATGCCAATATCATCAGCAACCTCTCTGATAGTGATTCGACGATTATCCAAAATCATTTTCTTCACAGCTTCAATGTTTTCATTGGTTGTTTTCGTGCTGGGGCAACCAGGACGAGCATTCTCATTGATCTTCCCGGTTATAATACACATGAACTTGTTTTCTGCTCATAATGGACTCGCCAAACGCCACAGTCAACATATCAAATGTCCATGCGCTTTTAATTTAATTATTTACACAAAACTTAATACAGTTTCTTTCATCCATTTTTTCGAATAGTAAAAAATCGAAGAGTACACCAAAACATGACTAACCTTTTTGTCTGTCAGAAACAAACAGCCAATCCAAAATGGCTGATATTGCCAAGATATATAATAGACATGTGTACTAACATAACAGAAAAAAAAAGAAAATCGAACATACGTTACTCACGAAATTTCAGAATAACGGTGATCACACCTCGTATATGCACAGCTATTTTATAATTAATAGAAAATATTTCCAAAACTATTTTTTTTGTTATTCTTAGCATTTAATATGGAATTTTCAACTATTATTATTATTAACTTTCAAGCTCCAATATAATCCAAATTAGCTGAAATATTTGCATGTAAAGAAACTGGCAAGTACCCGGTGTACAGCGCTGCTTCTTGAAAATACAATATTATTTATTTTGTTATATAAACTGCTTTTGTTTTCCTTTCTCGTAGTTATTGTATTGTCGTCAGCTATGCTCATCCGATCTGGGCGCCAGGTAACCACCTGTTGTCGCCAGAGTATCCTTCTTTAACTCGTAGCATAGATGCTGCGTTGTGCAAGTAATTTCTGATGGTATGCTTCTGTAGGGGACACCCCAACAGACACTTGCTTGAAGTCACACTACCACCTTCACACATTGCAGAAAAAGTGCTCGGATTGCCTTGAGAGTATCGTGCAATATTGGCGCAACTAAGGTCTGGATATTGTAGTAGGCAAAGCTTCTACCTATCCGAACTTGACCCCGACATATCTAACGTATATTCTACTTGCAATGAGTCCCCGCACGACACTAACCACCCCTTTGTATGCCCCTTATATCCAACACATCTAAACTCCCTCTCCCTCTGGTATGAACAAGTCGAAGTAGCTAGTCTGAGATTGATTGTGCTGATTGGGGTTAGCGAGACGCTATAACAATAACCTAAGTGTGCTCTCATGATTACATCATTGGCAATAACAACAGCGCCGTGACTTCTGACTTCTCCAGACTGGATGGAGAAGTCAAGCATAGGAGTCTGGCAGTGAACGATGACAAGGTGAAATATATTCTATCATCAAAGAAACTACCATCGCATTTGCATCACGGCTCCCACGTCACTGTTGACTGCCATAATTTTGAAGTCGTAGATAACTTCGTCTATCTTGGAACCAGCATTAACACCAACAACAATGTCAGCCCGGAAATCCAACACTGAACTAATTTTGCCTACTACTGTGAAGTGAAGAGGCAATAAAAAAAGAGATCCGCTTGGACAAACAAATACCAAATACTCTACAAGTCGATCATTCTTGTCGTGCTATATATCTGAAGAGTCGGTTTTAAAAGGTTTTGAAAAAAAGGTTTTGCGTAAGAATTGTGGCCCTCTACGCTGTATGAGATATACAGCAATATGGAGATAGTTCAGCGAATCAAGAGGCGCTACATTGGCTAGGTACGGCATAGGCAGCATCCGCCGGTGAAAGCAGAGGAAGGTATCCACTCCGTTGGAAAGAGCAGCAGAAGAATCTGCCTGTACTGCTGGGATTTCCAATTGGAAGGAAGAAGTAGCGCCCTAAATAAGAGGTTTGTAGATTGAACCAAGTTTCTTAGTAGTAGCAATTCAATTTTAGAATTATTCGGAGATAATTTCATAAATTTATACTTAAGTTAAAATAGCAGTTCTTTATTTTTATCTATTAACATTACATTAAAAGTTTCTATTCTAACATTTGCTCATCGTATTAGACATCTTCGTTACAGAATACATTTAAAACATTGCTTAGTTTAATTTGGTACATACAAATATAAGTAATTATGCGTAAAACTTCACACACACACACACACACGCGCGCACACACATACACATACAGGCAAAAGTCTCCTGTTTGTAAATTTCAAAATCATGTCAACATTTTCGATTCTCTTGATTTAGTTTTTTATATTCAGCTTCCATAACGTTTTTGGTGGTTGCAATCAGTTCATCCATGTCATCCTTGCCATATCCTGCCGTAGGAATTTCCGGTAGAATTTGTATGATTGCATGACCTGGACGGAAGAGTTTTTTCTCGCCATTTAGAAAATAGTATTTAGATATAACAACCGGTTGAATAGGACATTGGCTTTGTAGGGCTATATGGAAAGGCCCTTTTTTGAATGGCAACAGTGTGTCTTTCGTATTTCTTGTGCCTTCGGGGAAAAGTAACAGCTTACAACAACGTTCTTGAATGGCTTTTGATTCTTTCTGCAAGGTGTTGATGGAATCTTTTTTACTAGAGCGATTAATAAAGAGTGTGCCCCATAACCAAGCGCCGAAGCCAAAGAAGGGAAAGAAGAGAACTTCTTTTTTCGATACAACCGTTGCACGTCCAATTACTGGCCATAAATAGGCTAATCCTATGAAATTGAAAAGAAACAAATTAAAATAATATGTATGTATGTATGTACGTACAATATGTTCGGTGAGCTGTTTTTATTCGAACACGTTTGGTGAGGCAAAAACACAATAAAATTTACAACGAAAGATCGTGATTTGTACAACAATACTGGCTAGTTCTTACTGATATTTCTTACCGAACATACTTAACATACGTGTATGGAGGTACAAATTAATTCGGCACGTTCTCAAAAGTAGACACCTGTAAGCTGTGACCTATCTTGGAAGCTATTATCTATTTCATTCGTCCACAATAATTAGTCTGCATCAGCGTCTGCATCTGACAACAACTTTGTCTTTTGTCACTTCGAAATCGCTCGGATTTGCGTTAAATAAAGAGTCTTTGCGGAAAGTTTTGATTTTCTTTTTTAATTAGAATAGAAGTTTAGCTTAAGTCCATCGAATGCTAATGGCGCTTTAAGCTGACCGGTTTAAACTGTCCAATCAGTCATTTATATGGTGGTTCGGACGCTTAAAAAGTGGTGATTTTAGCCTCAAAGACAAAATGCTTACTGGTAGGGCCAAGCTGATGTGGAGTACTACGTGCCTCTAAAATAATAAACTAATGGGTTTGAGGCGCGCATTCCTTTAATAACGGCCAGTAACGACCGAAAGGCTTGATAAGGTTATTTTACCACATTACAATGCTCGACATCGTGTGAAAAACCAACTGGCTACGCTGAAATGGGTGGTTTTACCCCACCCGCTATATTATTCAGACCCTGCACCTTTCGACTACTTGCTTTTTACCAAGGAAGCAAAACGATTTGGGGAGTCATCGGTTCAGGTCTTTTGAGGAAATCGAAGAATGACTCAATGATTTTATCGGGTACATATAGGACTGGCGGCCGAGGTCACTGAGTAGTTAGCTTTGCGTACTGCCATTCGGAAGGCTCGGGTTCAAATCTCCGTGCCACCAACATCCAAAAGTTATAGAAAATTAATTTAAATAAAAAGTTAAGCTAAATTTTGTAATTGCGGTCGCACCTCGGCAGGGAATATCAACCCCTCCGAGTGTATTTACGACATGAAATAAAAGCTCCTCATAAGAAAACCAACAGCCGTTCGGTGGCGAATTAGTATAAACTGTAGGGTTCTCCATTTGTTGGATTAAAGACGCAAAACCATAAATTGGAGGAGGAGCTCGGCGGAAAATCGCTTCAGCGGTTACAAACCGCCAATTATGTATATATACATACATATATATTTGAAAATGACGAGAGAGATGGGAAAAAGTAATCGCTTCAGACGGACAATACTTTGAATGATATATCTCTTCTCAACAAAAATTAAAAACACCTTTGTGAACTCAAAAAAGAAGGACTGAATTAATTTGTATTTCCAATGCAATAAAAATTTTCTAAAAATCTGCATACCACATAAATCGATAAAACTTTGATGATTGATTAGCACAACGGCGCCGTGTTCCGTGCGAATGTTCTCGAGTCCACGTACTTCCATTGTAACACCAAGAGCTTTGCAAAGTTGACGGCAACCCCAAGCGGGTATTCTGTTTGGAAAAAGGTGATATTACAATTTTTCTAAATCTTATATGATTAATGTATGTCTGTACATATAGAAATACAATTTTAATCCCAGTGTAGATTTCTACAGAAAAATACATTTCAATTATTGCACTTACAAGGCATTTCGATAGTCGCGCGGTCTAAAAACCATTAATGGTATGCAGATAAGAACGATAGCACCGGATCCTATTATGAATATAGCCATTTTCAATTGATACGGTGCCTTTGATGAGAAACTAAGGAAGAGCGCCAAAATACAGGCAATCCCAATCATTTCGCACGTGCAGACCATTTTAATGTTTCTAAACCAAAAAGAATTGAAAAATATTTAATTGTTCTGAATCCCACATACATATATATATATAGTACTTACTAGTGTTAAAAATCCAATTTTGAGTCACCTTTCTCTTCAAGTGCAAGTCAAACCTGTTAAAACACAAATGTTTTTTTTTGAATGTTATTAATTATTAATAAATAATTTTCAATATTTATCGAAAGACTTTTAGGTGTTGTTATATTTCTAATATTATTTGAGGGTGAATTGTAATTGAAATATAATTATAATTTTATTCCTTTATTATAAATATTGCAATCAAAAAAAAATCTCTCATGACAAAGTCATCCTCCAACACGACAATGCTCGGCCTCACGTCGCAAAAGTGGTAAAAAAATACCTGGAAACGTTGAAATGGGAAGTCTTGCCCCACCCGCCATATTCCCCATATGTCGCCCCTTCTGACTTCCACCTATTCCGTTCGATGGCACACGGCCTGGCAGATCAACATTTTCAATCCTTCGTAGAATTGGAAAAATGGATTGCTTTATGGATAGCGTCAAAAGAGGACTCCTTTTTTTCGAGCCGGGATCCGAAAATTGCCGGAAAGATGGGAGAAAGTTGTCGCTAGCGAAGGACAATACTTTGAATAATATATCTGTAAGCACTTTTTCGCAAAAAAGCTTTTAATTTTGGAAAAATACGGCGGAAGTAAAGTTGTACACCTGATATGAAAGGCCAAGTTTTGGTGAGGCGAAATATTAATCTAAGTCACTTCATAACAGAAGACCGTTTCCTTCTTTTGCTTTTATGCTTGTTCTACTATCCGACACCATGGATTGTGCTGCCCTTCTGGATAAAATTAGTTTTAACTTTTGCAGTTTTAGTTCACCATCAAAACATGGTTTGAATACATCAGCTAAAAAACACAACAAGAGCCCACTCACTGCTGTGCCTACCTTTTTTTTTAACTTTCATGTATTTGAAATGGTAAATTAACTTTGATCCGCAATACAAAAGTTCGAGAGGGAGAGTATACCGACCAGATTTGTATGACAAACTGTATTGATTTAACCATACTCATCTGTCGTGTCTGTTTCTTAGCAAACTAGCCCCTCGGTTTATCTGATATTTCAATCCAACTACAAACAAACTTCACATTTAAACGATCATTTATCGAAATCGGATCGTAACAGAGACCTTAAGCAATACCTAAAGCTTCATCAGGATGGAGGGGAACCTCGCCACACTGTTCCATAACAAACGTGGTTTCAGACAAGGTAATTCCTTATCGTGCGGCTTCTTTAATTTATTGCTGGAGAAAATGATACGAGCTTTAGAGCTGAATACAGAAGACACAATCTTCTATAAGAGTGTACAGCTGCTGGGGAAAGCTGATGGCATTGACATCATTGGTCTCAAAAACCACGCCGCGAGTTTTACTTCCAGCGCAGCGTATGGGTCTGGTAGTGTACGACGGCAAGGAATATCTCCTGCCATCAAACAACAGTCATCGGCTCCCCCTTCATTGTTAAAAGTCATAACTTTGAAGTCGTAGCTAATTTCGTCGATCTTGGAACCAGTATTAACAACAAAGTAGGCAAGGAAACTCAGCGCAGAATCACACTTGCCAACAGTGCTACTTTGCACTGAGTAGGCTATTGAAAAGTAAAGACCTCCCTCTACAAACAAAGACCAAACCTTACAAATCGCTCCCGCCCTGCTATATGGTGCGGAAGCATGGACGATACCAACATTTGATGAGTCAGCGGTGTGTGTTTTCGAGAGAAAGGTTTTGCGTAAGATTTAAGGCGGTGGAACGATGAGCTGTACAAGTTTTAAGAAGACATTGGTATAGTTCAGCGAATAAAGAGGCAGCGACTACATTGACTAGATCATGGATCCGGATGGATAATAATACTCCGGCTTTTAAAGTTTTCGTTGCAGTACCCGCTCGTAGAATTAGATTAAAGCGAAGATCTTCACTCCGTTAGAAAGGTCAGGTGGAGACGGACTATGCTGTACTTGGTAAAGTGCTTTCCAATAAGCGGTAAATTTCACTTTTAGAGTTCCATTTTTTGCAATTTGACATGTAGAATTTACGCCACTGAAGAAACATGGAACACTACACACTTCAACAAAATTTCATTAAAAAATCATCTTGCCTGATGAGGCCCATTTACACCTTGATGAGGCTTAATGAGGCAAGTCTAATGCATCGGCGGCCTCTCCATTCTCAACGTGTAACTGTTTGGTGCGGGTCATTTGGCCTTACTTTTTTGAAAATGAATGGATTGCGCTATTTAAAGATGATTAATGCTTTTTTATTACCGGAATTGAATGGTATTGATCTCGAAATCGATCTTTTAAGGGAAAAATTTCTTTGAATATCAAAATAAAACCCATTATTGGAAGGCGCGAAAGCGCCAAAAGAAGAAAGGAGTGGCGCACTGTTGTTAACTCGGCCATAACCACGTAAACGGTGTCTACGTCACTAAAGCAAAAGAAGAAGAAGAAAAATTAATATACATACATATAGATTTCAGAACTCAAAAGTTTTTCGAACATTTCGATCAACTTGAGCAATTGGAACTTTTTTGAGCAGTTTGCAGCATTTCGGGTCAAAAATATTAACTTTTTTTTCAAATTTTTATGCAACTAAAATTAAAAAAAAATCAAACAAGCATCTAAGTAGTTGAGCAACGAACGAGTATCTAGGTGGTCGCACTGTTCGATACCCGAGTATAAAGAGCTCTAATATATATATATATTAAATCAAGTAAAAAGTTCGTTCGGTTTTTAAGAGATGGCATTATTGTCCATAGTTCTCGTGTTAAGTGTCGCATCATATCAACGTGTTTATTCGCGCTAAAAGTTTGTCTTAGACAGTTTTTCGATTGATGGACTCAGTACGTTGTGAGCGCACGCCAAAGATGAACACCAGCAAAGAGAAAATCAGCTATATTTTAAAAATTTTCTTCGATCTAGGCGAAAAAGTAGCCAAAGCGGCTGAAAAAATTAATTTAGTTTATGGATCCTGCGAATCGCTGCTGAATCTCAACAAAGTCGACCCGTTTCTTAAGCGGATTGTGACTGGCGATGAAACATGGGTCACTTACGACAAAATCGAGCGCAAACGGCCGTGGTCAAAGCTCGGGGAAGCGGCCCAGACAGTGGCCAAGACCGGACTGACACCCAGGAAGGTTCTGCTGTATGTTTGGTGGGATTGGCAAGGAATCATCTACTACGAGCTGCCCTTCTATCGCCAAATACTCAATTCGACGCCCTCTACTGCCAACAAAAGGACCGCTTTAAGGCAGCACTCATCCAGAAGAGGCCATCTTTGATCAACAGAGGCCGATTTGTGTTACATCAGGACCACGTCAGGCCACATACGTCTTTGGTGACGCGCCAGAAGCTCCAGGAGCTCGGATGAGAGGTTCTAATACACCCATCTTATAGTCCGGACTCGGCAACAAGTAATTACCATCTTTTCCTGTAGATGGCGAACGCGCTTAATGGTGAGAAGTTGGCCTCAACAGAGGCCTGTGTAAATTGGCTCTCCCAGTTTTTTTCCAAAAGAGACGCAGCCTTCCACGAGAGGGGTATAATGAAGCTGGCATCACGTCGGCAACAAGTTTACGTACAAAACGGCGCATATTTGATATTTAAGTCGGACAAATGCACACAAAGTTATCGTATTTTGAAAAATCAATAAAAAAAACCGAACGAACTTTTTACATATATATATTTACATATATATTTACGTATGCTATGTTATATGCTTCTGTATTTTAACAAAGATTATTTTTAGTCTCTAAACTTTCGTTTTTAATGAAAAAAAATGTCAACTCTTCACCTAAAATTCACCCTTATATACATATGTACATATTATATACATATATATATATATATATATATCTGTATTTAGTACAAACTGATAAGTTAGAATATATTTTCACTGCCAAGTTCAGAATAAAAAACAAAAACCAAAAACAATTTTAAAACAAAACATATGTACATAAATGTTTTAGTTTGAGATTAATTCAACTGCATACAAATCGCATGACAAGCGCTTCCAGCTCAAGTGCGAGTGTGGCGTGATTGAACTTCCGATCAATTGGGTGTAGTCGTGCGAGGCAGGTGGAATGTGCTGTATGCTGTCTCTCGAATAAATTGAGCTGATCGTTTTATATGAGCCTAAGGCACGTTACTGCTAATCTCTGATAGTATTTTTGGTAAATTTTTACAGCTAGCGTAGCGTGTGGAGCGCGTGCTACTGCGGAAGGTCATTCAAGAAGTTCGTTCTTAATTTTGAGTGGGCTCAAACAAAAAAAAAAAAACAAGAAAATTATTAAGCATTTCGCTCATACACTTTTAAACTCAGTAGATAACGATACATTTTCTATGGTATTAATCATTTTCAAATCAATATATGTACATATAGGGTTATCCCATTTTTGGTTTCAAAAGAACAACGCTATATTTTGACTTCTATCAATCATAAAAGTCAAACCAAACATGTTTTGCTTCAGTTAAGAGTCAGGCAATGGATCGCTTAAGCGGTCCCTCCCCTGATTTTGGTTCAAAAAATCAATTTTTTTACGCAAAAACTTAAAGCCATATATTTGTAGAGTAGGGCAGCTTCTCGAGCACACCTGTCTCACGCATGCTGCGAGCTTTCAAAAAACTTTGTACTCGTTTTTCTACAAAGCATGTTTTCCGAACTAACTTCAAGCGCCGGTCATGATCTACCCATCAGATTTCTTTTATATTATATAAAAACTGTTTCAAAGTATATAGTTTTTTGTACGTCTTGACCCCAAGATTGGCATTAATAATTAATTATTTATATTTTTTTAACGTAATTGAAGTGAAAAAATAGCAAAAAATTTAACTTTATAATTACACGCAATAAATTTATCGTTAATATTGTTCAATTGAGGTTCAGGACGTAGAGAATTTCACGATCTTCAAGTAATGACAACGATTTTTGATTTCAGTCTACTACAATACGCTGTA